GGGATAACTTTGTGTGTGATTACCGAGCTTACCGTAGCTCTTTGGGACCGGAATAACTTCAAGCCTCATTTTTGGACCGAAGTAACTTCAGGCCTCCTTAGGACCGGAGTAACTTTAGGCCTTCTTTCCACCGGAATAATCTTTATACCTCCTTTGGACTAGCGTAACTTTATGACCTTTTTACTCAGCCCTTCGTACTGTGGCCCATAACGGCCCATTACCCAGCTCGGCCCAATTTGCATATAAATTACCCTCTCAATATCATTTTCTCAATACGCACTCTATACATTTTTAATTCTTTAATTTCTTCTCACTTTACATCATTAATTTTAAAAAAAATAATTAAATTACTCTCATCTTTTTCAACTCTCTATCCTAAACCCTAACCTAACCCTAAGCTCTGCCCGCCGCTACCCTTCTTCCATTCTCACCTTTTTACCACAACACTCCCAACACAGAATTTCTTCTTCTAGAGGAGGCGAGTGATGGTGTTGCCAGCATTGGTACTGGTACCGATGCTGGCTAGGGTTTGGAGTGACAAAAAATCTATGTAATGAGAAAGTAAGGTTTGAAATTTGTCTAAAAATGTAATTTAGGAATAGAATTGTAATAAAAAAAATTGAGAAAAGATGAGTACTGAACAAATAAGTGGTGTGTAAATAAAATCACCCTCTGTTCAAAGGTGGGATTCCAAGAAGCATCCAGGAAATTGGCCAGCCATATGAGAATTGGGATTCCAACAAAGCAATCTGGACTAAAAAGTTTGAAAAAAAATATAAGAAAATTTTATAATTTTGATAAAATTATAGTAAATTTTATTATAATTTTAATTTATATAATATTTAATTTTATCTTTAATAATAATTTATTAATTATATAAATAAAAATATTATTATTATATTTTTTACATAAAATATATGTTTTATATTTTATATTTTATATTTTTACAACACTTACATTAATTTTGATATCTTGTCATTTTTTATATTGTTATGTTTGAGGACAATTAAAATTTTTAAGTTAATCTTGTGATATTTCATGGAAACAATCCTAGAAATAAAAAAGAAGACTTGGTTGTTGGTATCAATAGTTGAGTATTTCACATGATATCTTTATTTTTTTTAATCGGCAGCATTATATCCTTACAATTTTATTTTATAAAAGCACTTCTTCATAGATTCTTATCGGTAAGAATTTATTCACTCAATCTATTGCGATAAGCTTTTACCGATAAGAGTCTCTGAAAAAGTATTTTATAAGATAAAATTGTAGAGATGGATCATTTTTCTTTTTTTTATATTGTTATGTTGCAGGATAATTTAATATTTTTAAATAAATCTGTTGTGGTGTTTCGTAGAGGCTGACTTGGTTGTTGCTATCAATTGTTGGGTCTTCCCAGAGAGAAATATAGATAAGAGAGTAGGAAAAAGGAAAAGAAAGTGTTAGGAATGGGTAAAGAAAGAGCGAGGATTGAATTATGATGTTTCGTGGAAACAATCCTAGAAATATAAAATAAGACTTTTTTTGCTATCAATAGTTGAGTATTTCACATTATGTCTTGATATTTTTTTATCGGCAGCATGGCATTATCTCAATTTTGTTCTATAAAAGTACTTTTTCATAAATTCTTATCGGTAAAAATTTATTCACTCAATCTATAGCGATAAACTCTTTACTGGTAAAAGTTTCTGAAAATGTATTTTATAAGATAAAATTGTAGAAATGGATCATTTTTCTTTTTTATATTGTTATGTTGTAGGATAATTTAATATTTTAAAATAAATCTATTGTGGTGTTTCGTAGAAACAATCTTAGAGACTGACTTGATTGTTGCTATCAATTGTTGGGTCTTCTAATAGAAAAATATAGATAAGAGAGTGGGAAAAAGGAACAGAAAATGTTAGGAATGAGAAATGATTGACCTGTTGATTATCATGGTGTAGGCATAAAGGAATTTGATCCACTCTATTCTTATATGTAATAGATGATTTTGATTTTAAATTTAATAATTATAAAATAAGAATATAAATTTATAATTATTTTAAATTAAAAAATATATTTATAATTATCATTGATATAATAAAATACCCCAATTGTAAATATGTAATGAAATAGATCACAACTCCATGAAAAGTGACATAAGAAAGTGTGAGATGTGATGATGGATAGTTGAGCAATGGTATATAATTAAAAAAGTAAAAGAACACAAAATATGATTTATTGTGTATTTTTTATTTTAAAACAAAATATTTATAATAATAAATTTATTTATAAAATCGGCATTGTTATATCATCTTTATATAAATTTTATGTATAAATAATTTTTATTTATTTATTTATTGTGGTGGTGTTTCATGGAAATAATTCCAAACTCACTATTCAAAAAAAAAATCGTATTTTTTTTTAATTTTTAGATACACTTAACATAAATATACTTAAAATGTATAATATTTGTGATTTTTTTTAAAGAAAAATTCACTAAATACCACAATACAAAAATTCTGTATATTTTTGTATTCTTGTATATTTATTGATTTTTTAAAATATTTTTTTACAAATATTTTACTTTTTAAGTACATTTAGATTAAAATATTAAAAAGCTTGCTATCAATATTAAGTAAAAAATTTTTTTAAAAAAAATCACTTAAAATATTAAAAAAAAATCACTGAGAATAAAAAAAAATGATTTTTTTTTTTAATTTTCAAAAAATCAATCATAACCAAAGTGAATATAAGACAAAGTTGCTATGAATAATTTGCCCCCACCATAGTGTGGATTCAATAAGATGCACCTTCGATTTTTTTTTTGGTATGATTTATTATGGTTTTAGTTATAATTCATTATCATATCAGTTATGATATTATTTTGGGTATGATACAAGGGTTTTTTTAGTTATATCTTGTATGATGTTTGGTTATAATTCATTTTTTTTTTTGTTACGACTCAATAATTTTTTTGGCAGCATTATGACTCAATAATTGAGCTATAATTTTCATATTTAAGATATTTTATGTACAATTTTATTCTTATAAATATTTTTTAAACACTTAACAACTTGGTAATGTGAATATTAAATTTAAATAAATTTGACAGAATGTTTACATCATGAAACATTCATAATGTCAATATGAATATTAATAAGCGCTCCACCCTATTATTATTAAGGATATTTTGATAATTATATTACCCATAAAACTTATTAGAATATAAAAAATAATTTAAATTAAATAAAATATAAATAGGTCACAAGAGATTTATAAATAAATAAGGTGATTTTAAAAAGTGTTATTAAAGTACATATTAATAAAATCTTATTAATAATTAGAGTGTGGTAAAAAAAAATATTTTATATATATATATATATATATATATTTTAAATTCATAGTGTAGTGGGATGGTTGGATTCTATCCCAGAAATAAGAATAGCGTCCGAGGCGAGAAACGTCCAACAAGAAATAGGGAAATGATAGTAACCATTTTACCTGCTCCACGGTGGGATTCCAAGAAGCATCCAAGATTGCTTACGGTGTGCACGGTCCGGATTGATTTGGTTCCGAGAAAATTTAAGAATCGAATTGATTCTAACGGTTTTGTGATTTTGAGAACCAGACCAGATCGTTACACTTGTAACATCGGACCAGAATCAAACCAAAAAAAAGGTTCGGTTTCGGTTTGGTTTATGGTTCTAAAAATTTCTATTCACAAGAATAAGTTGTTAATATTAGCAAAATAATTACTCAAACTAATTACATTTAACTCATGATAAAAACTAATAATATTAAGGCATTACTAATATTACATGTCTATACCATCCTAATATCATTAAAATTATAAAAAATCAATTAATAAAAATAAAAGTTGATATTATATATATATATATATATCTTTTAAAATTCGGTTCGGTTCGGTTCGAACCGCGATTTTTTCATAAAATCTATTAACCGAACTGTTTTTACAGTTCTCATATTTCTTAATCCGAAACCGTGCCAATTCTTAATAGAACCGAACCAAACCGTATGATTCAGTCTGGTTCGGTCCGGATTACCGGTTTAAACCGATTTTTGAACATTTTTAACCCTAAAATCGCCAAGCGCTTGTCCTAACTAGTAAGGGAATTGCTCTCCTCCTCACCGATTAGAGTTCAAATTTTTATTATCTAAGTAGAAATCTGACCGTCTAGATGAATTAGTTAATTCTTTTTTTAAATTTAATTTGTAAGAGTAAATTTTAAAGGTTATGCTTTGAAGTTGTTTTTTGTTAAAGGAAAAAAAAAGAAAAGGCATCCAAGAAATTGGTTAGACATATGAGAATTGGGATTCCAACAGAGCAATCTGGACTACAAAGTTTGAAAAAAAAAGAAAAAAAAGGGAAAATTTTATAATTTTGATATAATTACAATAAATTTTAGGATAAATTACAAACATACCTTCCTGAAGTTTACTTAAATTACAAATCATCCATTGTGATTCTAGAAATTACATTATGTCCCCTAAAGTTTTTAGTTTCATAACAAATAGGTCATTTTATTAATAAATCATCAAGTTAATTAACAGTTTTTAAAATTGTTAAAATTTTATTTCAATTAATAATTCAGATAATTTTATTATTGTGTAGGTAAACAGTTAGAAATATCATTTTTTTAATTAATTCTGTTAAATAAAAAATTCTGACAGGTAGGTATTTGTAATTTTTCAAACCACAGGAAGCAATTCGTATTTTAAGCACATCTCAAGAGTGTATTTGTAATTTATCCAAAATTTTATTATAATTATAATTTATATAATATTTAATCTTATTTTTAATAATAATTTATTAGTTATATAAATAAAAAATATTATTATTATTTTTTTACATAAAAATATATTTTTTATATTATTTAATTTTTAAATTTTACAATACTTATTTTCATTTTGATTATTTAATTATATTAAAATTTAATATTAATATAATTATGTTAAAACTATATATTTTTAAGTGCAAGAAAAAGTCAGTGTAATTTATCTTAACTTCATTCTTTCGTTGCATCCACTCCACAGATCCTTCAAAACCCCATCAGATGGAGGAGCTTGCAATTTGCAAATAACTCTTTCTTACCTTCGGCCGAATCACTATTCACTCACACTGTATTGCAGCCTACAATTGATTTTGATCTCTGATCTTGGTTTGATCATCCATGGCTTCTAAAAGAACCTCAGATCATTCTTCTTGTTTTGCTTCTTCATCATCTGCGACACAACCTCGCTGGAGCTATGACGTGTTCTTGAGTTTCAGAGGTGAAGATACCCGCAAAAACTTTACCGATCATCTCTACGAGGCCTTGGTTCAAGCTGGAATTCACACCTTGAGGGATGATGATGAACTTCCAAGAGGACGTGAAATTTCTTCGGAGCTTCTCAAATCAATTGAAGGATCCAGGATCTCCATCGTTGTTTTCTCAAGAAACTATGCTTCTTCGAGATGGTGCCTGGATGAGCTCGTGAAGATCATTGAATGCAAGAAAACAATTGGGCAATTAGTTCTCCCAATATTCTACGATGTTGATCCGTCCCACGTACGCCACCAAACAGGGTATTTTGGAGAAGCATTTGGAAGACATGAAAAGCGTTTTGCGGATGAGATGGAGAAGGTGGAGGTGAGGAGAGCTGCCCTCTCTGAAGCTGCTAATTTATCAGGCTGGGATTTGCAAAATGTTGATAATGGGTAATTTTTAACATCCTTTTCATTTTGCTGCTGCTGCTGCTATCAATTTTTATCTTTAACTAGAAAAATCATATCCTTATTGTTTTTAATATTAAAAAAAAAAAAATCAAGTATAGTTAGTTCACTTTGTGAGTTCAAGGTGTTTTGAATTTTACATTTATTATTGGAAGTGGGGTTTGTAAGGTTTTGTATTTTTGTAATATACACTTGCTTTGCTTTTAATTTGGATCGAAATTGACAGGCATGAAGCAAAGTTCATCCGAAAAATTGTTAAAGAGGTTTTATGTGAACTGAAACATACAATCCTAAATGTTGCTGTGCACCCAGTTGGAATAGATTCTCATGTTAAACACATAAAGTCGTTGTTGAGCACTAGATCAGATGATGTTTGCATGATTGGGATATACGGCTTGGGTGGAATAGGCAAAACAACCATTGCAAAAGCTGTGTATAACCATATTTTCCTCCAATTTGAAGGGAGTTGTTTTCTTGCAAATGTTAGAGAAGTTGCAGGACAACTCAATGGCCTAGTTCAATTGCAAGAACAACTTCTTTTTGAATTATTAGGGATAGAGAATCTAAAGATTGGCAGTATTGGCAGAGGAATTAATTTGATGAAAGAAAGGCTCCATTCTAAAAAGGTTCTCATTGTTCTTGATGATGTGGATCAATTAAGTCAATTAAATACCTTGGCAGGCCACCGTGAATGGTTTGGTGGAGGTAGTAGAATCATCATAACAACTAGAGATGAGCACTTGTTGAACGGACCAAAAGTTGATGAAAGATACATGGCTAAGGAATTGAATCATGAAGAGTCTTTGCAGCTTTTCAGTTGGCATGCCTTTGGCAAAATCAATCCATCAGAAAATTGTGCAGATCTTGCAAATGATATAGTACGTTATGCTAGTGGGCTGCCACTCGCTCTTGAAGTTTTGGGTTCTTATTTGTTTGGAAGAAACATGGTAGAATGGAAAAGTGCATTTGATAAGTTACAACAAATTCCTCATGAGAAAATTCAGGAAAAACTTAGGATAAGTTTTGACGCACTAGATGATGACAACATAAAGGATATCTTCCTTGATATTGCATGCTTTTTCATTGGAATGGATAGAGACTATGTCATTACTATATTGAATGGTTGTGGTTTCTTCGCAGAAATTGGAATTAGTGTTTTGATTAGTAGATGTTTACTGAGAATTAATAAAAAAAATAAGCTGATGATGCATGATCTACTTCGGGATATGGGGAGGGAAATTATTCGTGAAAAATATCCAAAGGAGCTTGAAAAGCGCAGTAGATTGTGGTTTCATGAAGATGTATGCTATGTACTTGAAAAAAACAAGGTAAGAGTCGAATCTTAATTCTTTTTGGTGAGTTAGTAATTTTTCGGCTTGAAATGCTAATTTCAGTTATTTAATAGTCTTTCTGTTAAAATTGAAGTATTATTGATTGATTGTATTGATTACAAGATTGTTGTGTCATTTACAAATGTTGAGATGCTGTTTATATAGGATATGATTTGGGAGTAGGTGAAGGTGGTAGTGGAGGTGGTAGGTGAAGTGTAGTGGAGGTGGTAGGTGGATGTGAATTATGGTAAATTCTAACACTTTCTTCTTTTTAATTTTCCATTTTCTTTTTTAAATATTACTTTATTAGGGAACAGAAGCAGTTGAAGGTGTGATTCTATCCCTACCCATGTTAAAGAAGATACAATGGAGTAATAAAGCATTTGTTGGGATGCATAAGCTAAGACTGCTTCAAATAAATCATGTGCACCTCAGTGGAAATTTTGAACATTTATTTGAAGAGTTAAGGTGGCTCTGCTGGCGTAACTGCCCAATGGAGTATTTACCATCCAATTTTCATCCAGAGAAACTTGTTGCTTTAGACATGCAATTCAGCAGATTTAAAACACTTCGGACAGATGGCAAGGTATGACATTCTTAGCAAATTCATTATTGTTTGGGATTTGGATAAATTATGTAGTGGATCAGGATGAAAAAAATTTATATAATTTTGTATATGTTTCTTTGTTTTAATTACAGTTCAAGAGCTTGAAAATTCTAAATCTTAGTAATTCCAAATCCCTAACAAAGAGCCCTATCTTTTGCGCACTATCGATGCTCGAGGAATTACTGCTTGAAAGTTGTACAAGTTTAATGGAGCTACATGAATCAATCGAACTTCTAGATAAACTTGTTCACCTGAATTTGAAAGATTGCATGAACCTCAGGTATCTTCCAGGCAGTATCTGCAAGTTGAAGTCTGTTAAATATCTAAATCTCACTGGTTGTGCAAAACTAGAGGAGTTTCCAGAGCACTTGGGACATATGGAAAGCTTAACAGAACTTCTTGCAAATGGAACAGCCATTAAACAACTACCTTTCTCTATTGGACTACTCAAGAATCTTAGGATGTTATTGTTGAAGGGATGTAATAGGCAATTGACAACTAAATCCTGGTTTTCTCTCATTTCATCCTGGGTTTTACCGAGAAAAAATGCCGACTCCATAAGATTTTTACCATCCTCTGTTTCAGGTTTGTGTTCCTTAACAAAGCTAGATCTGAGTGATCGCAATCTGTCTGAAGGAGATTTTCCAGCTGATCTTAGGAGTTTATCCTCATTGCGAGTGTTGGATTTAGGCGGAAACAATTTTTGTAGGCTACCATATGGCTTCAGTAATCTATCCAAGCTAGAAGACCTTCAGTTGAATAACTGCACGAGTCTTCAATCTATCTCAGATCTTCCTCCTAATTTATTGCAAATAAGGGCTTATGGTTGTGCATCACTTGAAAAAATATCCGATCTATCAAAACTGAAGACTCTAAAAATGTTATTGAGTAGTAGCCACCGACTTCGCCCTGGGCATAGTCTCTCAAATTATAGTCATGATGGAATGGAAGAACCTCACTGTTTTGAAGGTGCACGAATCATTCCCTTGGACAAACTCAACAATTTACAAAATCCCCTTCAGGTCTCTCTCTCTCTCTCTCTCACTCTCTCTCTCACAGGTGCAATAATTTAGCAAAAAGTCTCTCCGAAAATTAAGTGAAATGTGGGAAACCAATTTTATTTTGGATGTGACCTATATAATACCAAAGGAGGTGGATTCCATCCATTCCAGATTATATGGACTGAAAGACGCTGTGTAGGTCTGTAGAATCAACCATTTGAGTCCACCATGAGTTTCATTTTGATGATCCGAATCTTTCATTTTATTGGGCACTTTGTGTATTTCATTCACAAAAAAAATTTAGATCAATCCAATAATCATAATATATTCAATTTATCAAATTTGTTACCAAAAAAAAAAAATGAATGACAATTTTGTTTTTAAAAATAAACGATATTTTTTTTGGTGACAAATGCAATAAATTAAATCGGTTATGATTATCGGATTGATTCAATTTTTTTGTGAATGAAATAGATGAAGTATTCAACAAAATGAATAGTTCAAATTATAAAAACGGAACTTATGGGTCCCATGGACCTAAACAACATGGACTAGAGTGGAGTTGCTTATTAGATATTGAAAATAATATCGTGAAGCATCTCCAACGTTTATTTTTTATTTTTTATTTTTTTTATTAAATTTGAGTAAAAGTTTCATCTGATATTGCTCGTTCCAACGAAGTAATCTGGATTTTCATCAAATCACCAGTCGACCAAGGATCCCCTCGATCAATGAACCAGTGTAAATTTTTCAAAATTCTGAAACAAATTTTGCAAGGAGGTAGTCGATCGAGGGGACAATCGGCCGGTCGTTCAGTGCTCATGCATACTTGTAAAGTTAATGGCTCTTTACAGTAATTTGGTGAAAGGTTTTGACATCCTTAATTTGATGAAAAATTTGAGATATTCTGAATCTGATACTAATTTGATGATAATGTTGGAGCACCAATTTTGTACATTTTTCATCAAATTTAAATTTGATGAAACAAAAAATGAAGTGTTGGAGACACTCTTACTCTTACTGAATTTTTTACTCAAAATTTTTTACTTGAATGATGTGGCAGTAACAATTTTAAAAATAGGATTCACTAATTTTTTCACTGTTTTTATTATCTGCTACTACATGATAATATGTTAGATGATTATATATTACATGTTTAGATCATCTTTTTATATCACCAACCTACTTGGAAAGATGTCATTTGTTTGCATTAATTTATTAATAATTATCTTCAAAAAAGAGAATTAATCATAAGTATCCATATAGACGGTGACACAAAATAATGATAAGGAATCGTCATATATAGCATTTCTCTATAAAAATATATTATTTATTTTCATTAATTTTTTAATAATTATCTCTAAATGTAGACAATACAATGATAAAAACATATCTCTAAAAACATATGTGACATATATAACATTTCTTTTTTCAAATATAAATAACTTTGATAAGTCTTTTAATTCTAAATGATAAAATTAAAACTTGCCACTATATTAATTTGATGAAAAAAAAATTTCAAACAAGATTATGGGGATACAAAATAAACATGACATAATCTTAATCACATGTCACATGAAAAGAGTGGGACTTGTTATAAAATATATGGTTGCACTCTCAAATTATTCTGTCTATATTTTATATTATTGATTTTGTATCCGTAAATTTATTTTAATTTTTTTATTTTCATCTAGCACTCTACTAAATAGAAATTCATATGACAGCATCTTTCTAGTAAGAGCTACTTCTGCGACTATTTCTTTATCGCTGGCGGCATTGATTATTTTAGCTATATAACAAGGTCTTCTTCGATATCCTTAGAAGTGCCAGTAGTGCGAGGGGAAGATGACTACGTTTTAGGATTCAATGTGGGAGTTGTTTATTACAGAATTGGGAATGAAGAAAGTTGCTCCATGGAATTAGATGATTATCCATATGTCATTATTACTGATAAAAGTAATGGCATCGATTTTACTTATACCCCAACCTTTTTTGGCATCCCTAAAAGTTGTGGAGATTATGTTTGGGGAAGCCATATAATAGTTGAAGAATATTTTGGATATAGAATTAAAGGTGGTGAGCAATTCGAAATTTCTTTTGTTATGTCGTCACGTTTTAAAACGAAGAAGTGTGCGTCGGATCTGATTGTTGTCAGTCACAACGGAGGCAGAGGCAGAGGCAGAGACACGGCCATCACCTTCTATGGATTGAGTGGCTACTGGAGACTGGAGCCCTCATACATGACGGAGGATGATGATGAAAATTGTCACCAAAACATCAACTGTAATGGGCCATCTCACATTTTCTTTTGAATGAATATGAATAAATCACAAATTTATTTGCTTGAAATTTCTTATAATTTTTAAATTACAAATATTCCATTGTGGGATTTAGTTTCTCCATTGGAGAGATGTTCAATCTGAGATATTGTTTGGCTTGTAAGTCCACAACCGGTTCACTTTGGTGATTGAGTTATTTTGTAAGAGTTAATTATTTAAAAGTCTTATTTGTAAATGTTATGGTAGTTTAGGTTTTATTTTAAAAAAATTGAATTAATAAGTCTTATTTAGTAAAATTAAGAATATTATTAATTTTTCTTAATTTTTAAAACTAAAAATATTATCAATTTTGTATAGTAATGTTTTAGATTATTGTTTCACTAACTAATTAAAAAAACAAAGTGTGAGATTAAGCATTTTTGTCTTTCTATTTATTGATTTGATTCAACTATCTAGTAAAACCGATAACATTATTAGTTTTTTTCAGTTTTAAAACTAAGACAATTATTGCTTGTTTCCACTTTTCAAAAACACTTTTTAGAAAATTCTACTTTCTTATTTTTCGTGTTTTTTTGTTTTTACTGAATTTTTTTAATATTTTAAGTAATTTTTTTTTATTTTTTAGATACACCTAACATAAATACACCTAAAAAGTAAAAAATTTGTAAAAAAAAAATCTTTTAAAAATTTACTAAATACCAAAAATATAAAAAAAAAATACAAGAATTCAGTACATTTTTTTATATTTTTATGTATTTATTAATTTTTTAAAATATTTTTTTCACAAATTTTTTACTTTTTAGATACATCAAAGTAAGGTGCATCTAAAAAAGTAAAAAAAAAATGTTTAAAATTTAAAAAATATTCACTAAAAATAAAAAAATACGAAAATCAAAAAAGTCAGTTTTCAAAAAACTTAATCCAGAAAACTCAAATCAAAATTTTTTCATTTTAATTTTTTTTTTTTGCACATAATTTTTTTTTTTTTTTTGTTTTTTTAAATTGAAAATTTATGTTTTAAAGTTTTTAAAATATTATCAATTTTGTATAGTAATGTTTTAGATTATTGTTTCACTAACTAATTAAAAAAACAAAATATGAGATTAAGCGTTTTTGTCTTTCTATTTATTGATTTGATTCAACTATCTAGTAAAACCGATAACATTATCAGTTTTTTTTTCAGTTTTAAAATTAAGAACATTATTGCTTGTTTTCACTTTTCAAAAAACACTTTTTAGAAAATTTTACTTTCTTATTTTTCGTGTTTTTTTGTTTTTACTGATTTTTTTTAATATTTTAAGCAATTTTTATTTTTTATTTTTTAGACACACCTAACATAAATACACTTAAAAAGTAAAAAATTTGTAAAAAAAAATCTTTTAAAAATTCACTAAATACCAAAAATACAAAAAAAAAAAAATACAAGAATTAAGTATATTTTTATGTATTTATTAATTTTTTAAAATATTTTTTCACAAATTTTTTACTTTTTAGATACATCAAAGTTGTATCTAAAAAAGTAAAAAAAAAATGTTTAAAATTTTAAAAATATTCACTAAAAATAAAAAAACGCGAAAACCAAAAAAGTCAATTTTTAAAAAACTTAATCCAAAAAGATCAAATCAAAATTTTTTCATTTTAAATTTTTTTTTTTGCACATAAATTTTTTTTTGTAGTTTTTTCAATTTGAAAATTGATGTTTTAAAGTTTTGAAAATCAAAATAAACGTCAAATCATCATATTTCTTTATAGATAATCATAAATGATGAACAATCATTGTTTGAAGGGCAATTCCGATTATTAAAAATTTAATGGAACTTGAAAGTTTAAAAAATCTTAATTAGAACTTAATAGAATATAAATTCATAAATTAAAACTTATGTGTAGATGCCTATTTTCTTAAATCTCTATACATAGATCATTAAAGAAAAAATTAATTCAATTTGATTATTGTAATTATATAATTTTATTAAATTATCTAAAAAAAATTAAAAAAAAAAGGATATCGAAGCTATGGAAATAAGCTATTATTTTGAATTTTATTATCTTTCATATAATTTGCATATATGATGGTCATAAAGTTCGAACCATCAACTTTAAAATTAGTAGTTAAAATTTTAACCATTAACAACAGCTAACATATCTATTGACTGATTCCTCTCGTATTGTGTAGTGTGTACTATAAAAAAATAAAAATAAAAATAAAAATAAAAAATCGGTACAGCTATAATCTCGCAGCTACGCAGAACCACAATATTTCTTCAATATTTTGAGCCAAAAAAATTATTAGAAATATTATCAAATACAAATTCATGAGGCATACAGTTGCTCCACATATAATTATTCCATGTACAGATACAAAACCACGTTAAGACCTTCACATGAAAGGGAAATCATAGTATTTGTCTGTAGCCAAGTAGCAATTTTTCAATGTATTACTCTATTTTTCTCTGAGAATAAGCTTGCAATAAAGTTACAACATTGTTGCTGATAAGGGATTCACTTGTACAGATTATCTATTTGTTCTTTGTATTGAGCTGCAACCTTGTCCCTCCGAATTTTCATTGTTGGAGTCATTAAACCATTATCAATCTGCATGCGAAAAAGATTTGTTGAAGACAACTAGATAGAATGGATATGGGAATGGCTATACAAGTGTGAACATTTACCGTAAAAGGCTCATCAACAAGAAGGATTGGCCCAATTTGAAACGAGCACCCAGAAGTCCTGCATGAAGGAAAATCTAGTTGTAGAAAACAATAAAACTAAAAAGAAAGAGACTGGTCATTTTTTACTTACCATTTCCTCAGCTCTTCATATAATAGACTTGTCATTTTTTCCTCACTAAGTTCAGAGGCATCCGCCCCTACAATCAACAACTTCTTTGCGGTCACTAAAATCTCTTCTTTGTTTGGAACAATTATAGCTCCAAGACGACGTTGGTCCTACACGTGATTATTTTCAAAGGTAAAGTTACGCATCACCTCAAGAGTGGTAGTTTTTTCATAAGTACAATAAAAGGAAATAAAGAGCGAAAAAACTCAATTCAAAAGAAAGATTAAATTTCACCTGGCCAATAACAACAATCTGCTGAATTAAACTACTTTTCAAGGAAGCTTCCTCAAGCTCTGATGGCTCAACATTTTCACCTATTTTTCCCAACACAGTAGATCAGTTAATGAACAAACTTTTGATTGGCAAATAGTTTCAAGGGAACTTGACATAGTTGCACATAAGGTGCAATTGTAAAGTTATAAAAACCAAAAAAAAAAAAAAAAAAAGGGCCCTTGTTTAAGAGACCACACATAATTTTTAAAGAAATATTAAAAGCTTTTTCTTTTTTGATAAGTAAGAAGCATTATAATGAATTATCAAATGGATGTAGTCACCACTATTAAAAAATGCAAACAGTTAAAAGAAGATGCCACTCAGTACAAGTGAAATGGAAAAATTTACCAGTGGTAAGCATTATAGCAAGAAAGTATCCTTGGCCCAATGAAACTAAAGGCCACATCTACAGCAATTATGACACTTAAATGCAAACAATTATAATATAGTAAAAACTTCTATTCATTTAAGAGCATATCAAAGGTGTAGATCTATGGTATGATATTCTAAACTGAGAAAACATGGCTGGAACTGAAACAAATTTTGACTGTTTTTTTTTTCGAAACAAAGATGGATAGATGGAATTATAAACGCAATGAAACAGAATAAGAAAAAAACTGGAAGTCCCAGCTTGTTATCAGAAGGAATCTTTGGTCACAGCTTCTTAAAAGAGATAGCACAGAAATCTGACATACCCGTTGAAAGAACTATAGTATCCTTAGCACGTCCTTCAAGTACAACCATGCCTCCGCAAAGACGACTTCGCCCTATTGAATGGTGAGGTGCAATCCAGCCAATATCACCAGTGTTTAGCCAACCACCCTCATCTAAGACTTGTTTTGTGGTTGATTCATTCTGATCCAACAAGAGCATAATTAATATGAAATGAACTTTCCATGACAGAAGATAGTGTAAGATTTCTAAACAACCTGTATATTAGATTGAATTAATTTGAACAAAGAATACATACATCATTTATATAGAGTACCACTAATCCTAACCCTACATGAATACATTACTGAGATATATAGAAGTCTAATAAACATAGGACACTGATTCCTAATCTGAGGAGAACACATATTCTCACAGATAGATCACCCACTCACATGAACCACAGAGACTAAAATGTAGGAATTCAAAGATTAAAACAATGGTCCACTGATCATAAAATCTTTAGTGCCCTAATAAAAAATAGCATCACAGTCCTGAAATGTTAGACTGAAATCTTACTAACACCTGAAAGCTGCCTATCATCTTAAAACAATGGTCCACCGATCATAAATCTTTAGTGCCCTAATAAAGAAGAGCATCACAGTCCTGAAATGTTAGACTGAAATCTTACTAACACCTGAAAGCTGCCTATCATCTAACAGTTGTGTAACGTACAGTTTCAGCCACCTTAATACCAAGTTCTGAATGGAAGCAGTGTAGCTTTCAGCGAGTGAATGGACTACAACAAAAATAAAGAGAAAAAAAAAATTCCTTTCAAAGGAAAGAAATCCGAACTTTAACGTAATGGAACAGGAGATTTAAGTCTAACCACTTTTCTTTGCAGTTTCCAGTCCTTTAGATTTGTTAAGCACAAAAGGAAACATTTTTAAATAAGAGGATAACATAATCCCTAAAAAAATTTGTTTTTAGGTTTTAACTGATTCTAGAATAAATTGCCCAATACATATTTGTATCAAGCCTATTAAGTACATGTACATAGCTATAATTCCTATGCCAAATTTATTTGAAATGAATTAGTTTACCTTGTAGTAACCCTTCATTACTTGTGGCCCCTTAACTTCTACAATGCCCTTTGAACCTGGAGGAAGAACCTCACCTGTTTCAGAATCTACAACTCTAATTTCTGTATGTTGAAGTGGACGCCCAATTGAGCCAAGAACCTTCAAAAGTTAAATCTGTGACAATGTCAAATGATATACTAGTATACTACTCTATCTAGAATAATTATAAATAAATAAAAACTAGATGAATGGAATTAAGCTTAGAGTGGATTTTAGAAAGCAACACTCAGAATTTATTATTCAAATGGTTAAAAGAATCAAAATTAGAATAAAACTATAGTCTGCATAATGGACTTATGCCAAGCAAACAAAATAAGTTGGTATATACACACACACACACACACACAACTAACGTGACATCCTGATGCTTTTCTGAAACCTTTTCTTAAAATCTTCCATGAAGACATAGTAGATGCTAACATGCTCCTTAAAACCCTTACTAATACTTAGAAAATATGAGGAAGAAGAACTCCGAAAATATGAGGAAGAAGGAATATATTTCTGTTATATTCAAAACTTCTTATCTTACAAGACCAAATGACACTCCTTATATAGGAGATATTACAAACACTCTTACCCACACTTCCCTTCTTCAAATGACTGTCATAGTTCACCAAGCATGAAGCCTTCTAAAGTGCCTATACTTACTGGAAGACAATATACCTGTACCCATCTTCCTAGAAACATTATGCATGTTACCTCCTCCTGCACTGGGTTAATAAACTTACCTCTATTTTGCATCTTACACCGGCAGGCCATTTTGCTTTCATAACCCAATAATATCTTCCATTACCCGAGCCACCCAATAGACTCAGATTTGGTCTTAATCTTCTGAGCTTTGAAGGTCATCCGTCCAGCCTGTTTAAAAACTTAGGCCCAACCTCTCCATTTGTAGCCCATTTCTCCATACTACTTATATTCTAGGCCTGGCCCAAACCATAGACCTGAAAAGAAGAAGCACCCACCATCTTCTCAGAGCAGCCTCCCCTATCTGATATGAAAGCGCCCAGGCCATCACCTCCAATTGACCACTGAGGTCCAACGACAAATCAAAGAAAATAATCAAAAAGAAAAATAAGCCCCTCAATTCTCTCCCAGTAACTGAACCCACCACCCTCCTAGATAATATCTACTTCCACTGCCCCTCCAGCCCCAATATGGCCGCCACCCTCTACAAAATTTACCCTCGCCACAACAAAAATTCACCCCTTGAGCTAACAAGGATCGCCTCCACTTCCTATATACCCAAGTCTTTGATTTTCAAACCCCTATTCTCTATTTCTACTCACTGTCATATCTCAAACCTTGTACTCCAACCAAAATCCATATGACAAAAAAATTGACAAAATGAACCCAGTAAAAACCCTAGAACCAAATAGAAAACAGTGGAAGACAAAGATGAAGACCAGCAAAAGGTGAAGAACTCAACAACCATACTGTGATCAAAACCCTAAAACAGAAAAAACAAAAAGGAGAACAAAAGAAGCCAAAATGAAAGGAGAATAACAATATTAGTGCGCATCATTACACACTTAAGTTTGTAGTATGCATTGGGTGACATGATTGTAGCTGAAAGCAACTAACAAGTAGAATTCCTACATTTTAGAAGAAATAGGATTTGTTTCTTACATTACAGGCACGATGTCGAGCAGCTACAACAGGAGATGACTCAGTTAAACCATACCCATTCTGCACTTTTATGCCAATTGCCTGTGAGTACATAAAAAAGGGCAAATTTATGAAGAAAAAAGAAGTAAGAACTGACGACTTCACAAATCTCCCTACTTAAGCCTAAGAAAACACAAGCATCTTACCTCAAAGAACTTGTCAACATGTGAAGGCAATCTACCACCTCCACTTATGCCAGCCTGTAGAATACCACAAAAGGCTTTGCTTAATTATTTCCATTAAATCCTTCTTAGCAGAATTTTGTCGGATTATCTGAGAGTAAATAGAAAATAAAGAAGAAAGAAACTTCAAGAAATCATACAAATCCTATGTCCTGGTTGTCTTGGAAGACGTAACAGATCTTTCCTTCCAAATTCACCAGCTTAAAGAAAACCAGATGGACAAAAAAAGAGAGAAGAAGATAGAAGTCATACTGAACAGCAAACATTAAAACTCACACCTTTGATATTCCAATAGCTGAGTGAATTTTGTTATAAACAAGTTTCTTGGCCAAAATATGTACTGGCCATAATATCAAAGAAATTATTCTTGCCCATAACCAGTCCAATGCTGAAACAAGATATTTAGGTTGCTTCTGACTTTTTGTAAGATATTTCCCCTGCAAACCAGACAAAATCAACTAAGCAATATATGAAGAGGAAACAAATATCATCCCAAAAGAAAAGCACAGATGGGTAGGAAAAATGTAGTCAGATGACAAGTAATACAAGTAAATTGATTTTGCTGCATTGGACCCAACACCTGGTGGATCTTTATACTCTATTGATACAAAAATGTTTGTGACCTCAATTGTCACATAAATGATTGTATGAGTTGGTGAAAAGTTATGTTCTTGTTAGTGAGTTGTTCACGTTAGATGGGGGTGCATTGGTAGAAAAGCTATACCAAACCAAACCAAACAACCATATAGGCTCATTGTTAGTAACTAAGTTGATGTAGTTCAAGGTAAGGGATCTTTCTGTAAGTTTTCTGAGTCAAACTGTATATCTCATTGAATTGAACAAAGAATACATCACTCACTTATATAGAATGCTAAATCCTAATCCTAATCCTAAACAAAATACATCACTGATAGAGAATGCTATTAGATATAGAACACGAACACTAATTCCTAATCCTAAAAGGAAAAGGAAAACGGAGCAGAAAACACTGAGAGTTTGTCAAGAAAAAGCCGAAACCGAGCAGTGGTGTGAATCTTGGTGAAGAAATCAGCAAGTTGCAGAGTTGAAGAAACAAAAGGAAGCGAGATTACGCCAAACTGTAGATGCTGACGGATGAAGTGACAATCAATCTCAATATGCTTTGTCTGTTCATGAAAGACAGTGTTATGAGTAATTTGAATAGCACTTCGATTGTCACAATAGAGAGAGGTCGGGGAAGACTGAGGGACACCCAAGTCAGACAAGAGACCACGAAGCCAGACAATTTCAGCAATGGCATGAGCCATAGCACGATACTCAGCTTCGGCAGTAGAACGGACAACAACAGCTTGTTTCTTGCTTTTCCAAGAAATCAGGGAATCGCCAAGAAACATACAGAAACCAGAAGTAGATTTACGATCATTAGCATCACCAGCCCAATCAGCATCAGCATAGGCCACCAAATGTAACGAAGAAGTAGAAGAGAATAGCAAGCCCTGTAAAATAGCACTGCGAAAATAGCGAAGAATTCGAAGCAAAGCAGCCCAATGTGTAGAGCGAGGAGTAGAAACAAACTGACTAACCACATGGACAACATAGGCAAGATCAGGGCAAGTAACTGTCAGATTGACTAAACAACCCACAAGTTCGCGATATAACGTAGGATCGTCCAGAGGAACACCATCAGCAGTGTTCAGCTTCACATTAAGCTCAATGGGGGTATCAGAAAGCTTAGTGTCAGTAAGCTTGGCACGATGGATAACCTCGTTGGCATACTTAGCTTGGGATCAAGGTTCTGAAAAGCGGTTGCGGTCGTCGTAACGGTGGCGGTGGCGCGGTTGCGGTTGCAGGGTGTAAAGGCCGTAGTGTAACGGTTGCAGTAACCGAAATCGTGAATTTTTTTATTTTTCGCACAATTTGAAAAAAACTTACCGATACGCATATTTTTTTTCCATGATCATATTTATTAGGTTAAAAATAAATATTGATCAATTTTTATAAATTTTTAAGTATGATCCAATATATTTCATATTTTTAATTCACTATAAACTGAGTTTTTTATATTTTATTTTAATAATTAATGACTTTATATTATACAAAAAAATCAATCGCTAACTATTATATATAAGATAAACAATGACAAAAGTAAGAGAATAAATAAGAGCCTAAATATATATATAAATATATACATATTTTAACCAAGCCAAATAGATAATGACCACACTTATTATTAGTATTATTTTCAAACAACATATAGATAGACACACACAAACAAAATGGTTAAGTGATAGCAGCTAAATAGAATAGCATAGGTTTTACAACTTCAACAAATTAATAACATATTCTTCATTTTCCCTCTTCTCTCTCTCTATCTCTTGCTCCTCCATTTTCTCTCTTTATCTTCCCTTTTCTCTCTACCCTTCTTCTCCCATTTTTAGCTTTTTTTTTTTGTGTGTTTTTTTGAAAGAAACAGTTTGGAACAGTTACGTAACGGTGCATAACTGGCCGTTACGCCTGTTACGGCACAGTTACGACCGCTACGGCAGCTGCTACGGCCGACACACCTGTAAATCTTAATCACACTGCAAAAGCGGCCGTAACGGGTGGCGGTAACTGCCAAAAGCGTTACGTAACGGCGTTACGTAACGGTTGCGGCCACTTTTTAAAACCTTGCTTGGGATAGAAAGTAACCCTTGGGAGAAGAAGCCACCTCAATACCGAAAAAATACCGCAATGGTCCCAGATCCTTCATTTCGAATGTGCGGAAGAGATGCTGCTTGACTTCAGTGATAGCAGCAGAGTCAGAGCCAGTGATGATCATATCATCCACATATAGTAAGAGAGCAACAAAACTAATCGAGGTATGTCTAAAAAATAAAGCAGAGTCGGAAGCAGAATGATGAAATCCAAGCTTGGTAACAGCAGTCTGAAAGCGATCATACCAAGCACGAGGAGACTGCTTCAGACCATACAGAGCACGCCAAAGACAACAAACTTGGCCAGAGGAATGGTGAAGACTAGGGGGAGGACGCATGTAGACCTCCTCAGTGAGATGGCCATTAAGAAAAGCATTCTTAACATCCATCAGATAAAGAGGCCAAGAACGAATAGCAGCGACAGAGATTAAAGTACGGACAGTAGTCATCTTGGCAACAGGAGAAAACGTCTCCTCATAATCAATACCATATTCCTGGGAGAAACCTTTGGCAACCAGACGAGCTTTGTAGCGCTCAAGAGAACTATCAGAATGAGTCTTGACTTTGTAGACCCATTTGCAACCAACCAAATTCTTACCAGCAGGCAAAGAAACCAACTCCCATGTATTAGTTTTCTGTAGAGCAAACAACTCATCCTCCATAGCTTGAACCCAATGAGGATCTTGACAGGCTTTCTTGTAAGACTGAGGTTCTACAAAAGAGTGAATAGCAGACAAAAAGGTACGATAGGAAGCAGAAAAACAAGTATTAGACCAACTCAACCTGTTTGGAGGATGATGCGCTCGAAGAGGATATCGGTGTGCAGTAGGATCAGAGTCGTCAGAAGCAGGAGGATCAGCAGTAGGGGCAGAGTCAACTGATGGAGGAGGAGCCTTGCGACGAGAATAAACTAACAATGGAGAAGGAGAAGAGGCCGAAGAAGGAGAAGCAGCTAGAGGTGAAGCAGGAGGAGAAGATGGAATAAGCTCAGGAGTAACTGTGGAGATGTACTCATCAGACGGAACCTCAGAAGGAAATGGATCAATATGAATCAAATCTTCTTTGGAAACAGGGGCGGTAAGAGGAGGAAGCTGAAAATAAGATAGACGTTCGAGAAAGGCAACATGGTGGAAGACATAAAGGTGACGAGAAACAGGGTCATAACATCGATAACCTTTCTGAGTGAGACTATAATCCAAAAAGACACATAGGACAGACCGGGCACTAAGTTTGGTCCTATCTTTACGCGGTAAAAGGACAAAACAAGCAGACCCAAACACACGAAGGAGGGAGTAATTAGGATGTTGAGAAAACAGAGCCTCATAAGGAGACCGACCAGAAAGAAGAGGAGTAGGCATACGGTTGAGAAGAAAAGTAGCAGTGAAAACTGCCTCACCCCAAAACGGAGCCAGAACGGAGGCAGAGACAAGGAGAGACCTAGCTGTCTCAAGGAGATGACGGTGTTTACGCTTAGCTCGACCATTTTGGGCAGGTGTATCAGTACAAGAAGTTTGGTGAATAGTATGTAATTTGGCCAAGTATTCACAGAATTCAGTTTTAAAGTATTCCCCACCCAAGCCAGACCGCAACAATTTAATAGTAGACCCGAACTGTGTAGTGACCATACACTGGAAGGTACGATATATCTAGTAGAAATCAGATTTATGAGTCATAAGATAAATCCAAGTGTAACGGGTGCAGTCATCAATAAAAGACACATAATATGCAGAGCCCCCTTTAATAAGAACAGGAGAGGGCCCCCAGACATCAGTATGTACAAAAGAAAAAGGAGAAACAGAAATAGAGGTACTTTTATTAAATGGTAAGGCTGACATTTTAGCAAGTTTACACCCCCGACATTCATCAATTTGACTAGGAGAAACTTTACCCAACAATCCTGATTGAGCTAAAGACCGTAAGCGGTCAACAGACAAATGACCGAGGCGAGAATGCCACAAATAAAACTGACTCGACTGAGAATCTAACTGAAATGAGGAAAGTGCAGCTGGAGAGGTGGATAAAGGAAGATGCAAGCTGTCGACCACATAGAGGTCTCCAGTTCTACGGCCGGTCCCAATCTGCTTCTTGGACACCCGATTCGGCACACAACAGACAGAAGAGGAAAAGATAGCATCAAAACCAGACGCATCAAGTTGACTAATAGATAATAAACTGACAAATAACTGAGGAACATAAAGAACAGAAGGAATAGTAACAACAGACATGGCAGAGGGTAAGACAGACCCAACAGACAGAACAGACATACTAATAGTAATAGGAATGGGTGGGGGAATACAATTTTGAAGTGAGGAAATGTGAGGAGTCATCTGATGAGAGGCACCAGAATCAAAAAGCCAGACAGAATAAGGGATACCTGAAGAGGACCCAAGCAAACCTGAATGAAGAGAGGCAAGCGCGGAGGCAGATGTGGATGACTGAGAGGTGGACAGGATATGCTGAAGTTATGCAACCTGAGCACTTAGGGAAGCCAAGTCAGGATCGGGAGCCGGAGTGGATGCAGTGTAAGCAGCAGAAGGTCGGAAAGTACCCGATGTAGGACCGCGAAACTGTGTCTGAGAAGATGGAGCAAGCTGATGTCCCTTTTTGGGACAATTGTTTTTCCAATGACCCCTTTGATGGCAGAAAGTACACTCATCTGGCCTAATGGTCCTTTCTTGGGTTTCGCAGTGGCCTGAAGCTGATGAGGAGGAGGGGTCGATAACAAGGGCTGCTTGGCAGGAGCCAAGAAGACAGAAGGAGGCAAAGTCTGACTGGCCGTCTTAAGACGGGTTTCCTCAGAGAGGAGTTCACGAACAATAGCATCCACAGAGGGAAGAGGAGATCGATGAAGGATGCCACCTCGAATAGCCTCATACTGAGGGGAGAGGGCTGTTAAGAACTGTACTAAACGACCCTGCTCCCGAAACTCAACATAAGTGTCTAGTATCTTGAGACTAGGTGGTTCTATGAGAGCCAACTGATCCCAGAGACTTGTCATCTCAATATAAAAGTCCTGAATAGTCTGATCCCGCTGACGAGCATTCTGAATAGTTGTTTCCAACTCATACCGCTTGGCAAAGTTAGACTGCTGATAGACACCTAGTAAACAATCCCATACTTCTTTGGCAGTATTGTACTTGGAAAACATCATTCCAATACGGTCAGTCACGGAATTATGAAACCAGGTCAGAATTTGGGCATTATCACAATCCCAAGTATCACAGAAAGTCAGATATCCATCCTCCTTCGGGTCTGATGGTCGAGGAACAGAACCAGAAACATAACCCCATTTTTTTCGACTGAGAAGAAAAATTTTCATAACACTAGACCAATAAGGATAGTTGTCACCAGTAAGTTTGCATTTAATAGCCTGAATTTTATCTTCTGACATTGTGATGAACCAAAAGGAACATATGGGGCAAAGTGTGATAACCAGCAAAAATAATTAAAAAAAAAAAAAAAAAAACTGAGGGGTCAAAGTATAATAATCAAGAACTTGTTTGATCCAAAGAAGAATGAAGGAGAAATGGTGGTCACGAAAGACAGCCGTAGGTCAACTTCGAACTACACACACAGAGACAGAGAGAGAGAGAGATATGTGCACAGAACAGTGCGACGAAGTCGACTCTGGAGCAGCCGGCATAGACAGCGCTTCGATCACGCGAAGCGAAGCAGGAGAGAACCAACGACGACGACGACTCGAGTCCAGTGACAGATCACGAACCAGAGGCTAGGGTTTTCACGAATGGGTTGCGAGGTAGAGTACCAGGGAGACGAACCAGATGACAGACGAAGGACAACTCGAGACCTTCGCTCGAACCAGACGAACATAGAAGAAACAGAGGTAGTCACGACCTACGACTCAGAGAGAAAATACCAGAGGGCTGATTTTCGAGAGACTATTTGTGATTAACTCACAGAGAGCTTCTAGGGTTTCGGTTCAAACCTTGCTTTGATACCATGTAAGTTTTCTGAGTCAAACTGTATATCTCATTGAAACAAAGAATACATCACTCACTTATATAGAATGCTAAATCCTAGTCCTAAACAAAATACATCACTGATAGAGAATGCTATTAGATATAGAACACTAACACTAATTCCTAATCCTAAAAGGAAAAGGAAAACGGAGAACACTATTCTCACACTTTCATGTGGAATATTGAACAGAAATAGAAGATCCAAGAATAGGGAAAAAAGATCAATAGAGATAGAGCACAGGCTAATGGTTACTAACCTTAGAGAAAGAGGCTTAATAAAAGATTCTTATTAGATCCTTAATACCTTATCCTTTTAGTCTTTGTGCTAATCGATTCTTATAATAGGGCTAAAGCTCCTAATCGCAGAGTGAGTCTGTGATTATCACTCAAGAAAAATGAGAAACACTAATAAGATAAATTCTCATGTTGATGACTCACAAGCACAGGAAATAATTGAAAGAGCACAATATATATAGAGAGAGAAAATGAAAGTGCCAACCTCATAAATTCTCTTGAAGTCCATGTATGCCAAACTAATATTTATAAAGAAAAGTGCAACAAGCTTGCGAGCAGTGGAGCTCGTAGAAATCTGCTTTTGAATACCACTGCAGTAATGTATAGAAACAAGTAGAAAAGTCACAGAACTGAATGCAAGAAGAGGACAAAGGCAATAAAGCAAGTCATCCAGGCATGAGATTAGGATACCATTAAACCACTAAGATATATTAATTAGTCTTTGTAGATAAAATTTCAATTTAGAGCATTATGTACCTAAGGGTACTACAGACAATTCCCATGAATAAATTCCATTGGAGAACATGTTTGGAAGGCTGTTGACTTAACATCTACAAAGACTAAAACTTCAAATTAATTTTTTTCATAACGAACTTTATGATGATCTAATATTATAACTTGACCTATAGATCAATCTATAGACCCCACTACTATAGCCCATGTTCATTAAAAATAGAAAAATATCAAAAAACCTACAACACCTAAAACATAAGAAAATTAAGTATACCAGAAGCAACTAACCTATCAAGTTCCAGGAATGCTTGACTACAAGGTCCTGAGGTCTTCTTTATATTGAAACCTATTAAAAGACCCTTCTAGCACTATATAGAAGCTCCAAAAATCATCACAAGAGACTACAAAGCTGTGATTATGGATCTTATTGTCTCAAGATGAGTTTTAAGTTAGGGCTATTTTGTTAACAAGCCAGAAAAGGGTCATGTTTGTTATGGTAAGGCCCATATTTGAAGATACAATTTAAGCTTGTTTTTTGCTTCCCATATAGTAATAAAAGAAGAGCAACTTCAAGGACTGATGATCATTCATGCGGAACAAATAATTTGAGAATGATTTGACTTGTTGGAACAAGGAAACGAGTGATATTATAATTGGTAAGTGTTGGAATTAGGAAAGAGTGATATTGTAATTATGGTAGTGTGTATAAAATCTGTGATTGTGTCAATCACAGATTTAATACCTTTTTTCTTATCTTTATTTTCTATTTTGTTTGTTTTCTATTTTGTTCGTTTCCTATTTTGTAATATCGCTTCATTATAAATACAAAGCTTTACCTCATTCATAGGTAAGCCAAATAATTCTTTTCAATCTTTTTGGTATCAAAGCCAAAACACAAAAACCCTAGACCACCCCCTCCTCCCTATTGGCCCATGTTCTTCATGGCCCATGTTCTTCACTGCCCAACAGTTTCTTCATCTTCTTTCTTCTTCCTCCAATAGCCAGCAGACCTCTTCTCCTCTCTAGACCACCCGACAGCCTACCCTACCACTCCTAGACCACCCGAAACCACTTACCCAACCTCCTATACCCCTCGGCAGGATTGTATTACACCTGCCGAGGGCCTTGCTGTTGCCAACCAGGTCTCATCCTGGCATAGAGTACTTCGACTAGGTCTTTCCCTGGCCTAGATCGGTTTGATACCCTCTTTAGGGTGATTTGAACCCTTTTTCTCCCTTTTACAGGGTGTAGTGCTAATGCTTTAAGCACTTTAGCCATTGAGCTTTTTCCGGCTTTTCTGGTTGTTTACTTGGTAGCATTTAGCCGTTGAGTTTTTTTTTACTTTTCTGACTGTTTACTCGGACTGTGTTGCTGTGTTGCTATATTGCTGTCTATTTTAGCCCTCATTATCTCCCCATGGATAACTTATCTTCTACCATTCCTACTGAGGTATCTACTGCGGTCTCCACTAAACTTGTGCCTGTTCCAAGTACTAATTTTTCTCTTTCCCATCACACTCTTATTCATCGTATTATGAGTGTGGTGTTGAATGGAAAAAAATTTGCTACTTGGAGCCGTTCCCTAAAACTCTACCTTGGAGGAAAGGGAAAGGACCATTGGCTTTTATCTACTATTACCCCGCCAGCTGCAACAGACCCTATACATACTCAATGGGATATCGATAACTGTACTATATTAGGATAGATGTTCAATTCCATGGAAGACCGAATTTATCATATGTTCCTTTATTGCGATACAGTTCTGAGTTTGTGGCAGGCATTGTCACAGATGTACACTCATGCTCACAATGATGCACGCATCTTCGAGCTTTACCAAGATATAGCCCGGGCCTCTCAATCCTCTCTTGGCCTTTCTGTAGCTGAATTCTTTGGCTATCTTTAGGCTCATTGTGAGGAACTTGCTCAATATAAGCCGTTGACTGACCTTCCACCAGAAGCCGCCTCCGTTGTGTCCAAGAGGCTTGCCCGGCAGCACACTTATCAATTTTTCATGGGTTTAAACTCTGAATTTGAATCTCTTCGAATTCAAGTTCTCAACACATCACCCATGCCATCTCTTTATGAGGTTTTTGCCACTATTGACAGTGATGAGCGTCGCCGGCGATTGGTTCAACCCAATGTTCCTTTAGTACCTCCAGTTTTAGCAGATCAGATGGCTCTTGCCGCGAGTTCTGGTTCTCGAAGTTCCACCAATTCTGTTACCTGTCATCATTGTGGTACGCCTAGACATGTCAAAGCTCATTGCTTCAAACTTCATCCTGAGTTAAGGCAACGCCCTTCCCAACCTCGTGGTCTTGTTATACGTAGTTTTGGCTCTGCTCGCACTGCTACTTTGGTGGACGTTACTCCTGCTTCTAAGCCTCCTAATGTCCCTAATCTACAGCAGTTACAGACTCAAATTGGTTAGCTTCAAGCCCAACTTGGGTCTCTCACCACTGGTTCTCTTGGTCTATCATCCTCTACTGCCACCCTTGCTAAAGGTACTTCTACTGCTTTCTATGTTCGGTCTGCTAATCCTTCATGGATTCTGGGGCTAATGATCATATGACTAGTGAGTTTTCTTTTCTTTCCTCTCCTGCACCCACCATTGTTGCCAAATTTGTGTGTCTTGTTGATGGTTCTTGCTCTTCTGTCCAACATAGGGGTGTTGTGTCTTTATCCCCTGATATCACTTTATCTTCTGTGTTGCATGTTCCCAAGTTTGCTTATAATCTCTTATCTGCTAGTCGTCTTGCCAAAACCTTTAATTGTGCCATCATCTTCTTACCTTCTTCGTGTCTTTTACAGGATCTCAGTTCGAAGAGGAGTTTTGGCAGGGGATATGAGCGCGATGGGCTATACTACTTTGGGGATCCACCGGACCAACCTTCTTTGCCTTTAGCCAGTTTTCAGGCATCTGTTTTGCCTGTTTCTATATCTTGTGTTTTTTCTGTTCAAACTTTAGAGTTATGGCATGCCCGTATGGGTCATGTTAACTTTCAATATTTATGTCAACTTTTTCCGTTATGAAATAAAACTTGCTAGGATTGTAAATTTCATTGTGTTACTTGTAAGTTGTCTAAACATATCCGTACTAGTTATATACCACATATGACACGTGCCCTAGTGCTTTCAACCTTATTTATTCTGATGTTTGGGGTTCCTCTCCTGTTCCTGCTTTTTCGGGTCATCGTTATTATGTGACTTTTATTGATGATCACACTAGGTGCACTTGGGTCTATTTACTTCGCCGCAAGTTTGCTGTGTTTCCCATCTTTGTTCAGTTTTTGCAAATGGTTAAGACACAATTTTGTACCATTGTTAGGAACATCCTCTCTGATAATGGTGGAGAATACATCTCCAATGAGTTTCGTTCTCACCTTAATCGAACGGGTATTCTTCAACTTACATGTCCTCGGACCCCTGAACAAAATGGTGTGGTTGAACGTAAAAACCGTCATATTATGTCTGTCATGCGTTGTCTTGTTCGTGGTATGAGTGTGCCCAAGTCTTATTGGCACATGGTTGTTCTTACTACTGTCTATCTCATTAATAGGACTCCTAGTTGTGTGTTATATGGCCTTACTCCATTCCATATTCTTATGCCTAATACTACTATTTTCCCTCTTTTGCCTCATGTTTTTGGGTGTACATGTTTTGTTTAGGACCGGCGTCCTACTCGCACTAAGTTAGATGACAAGTCTATTCGTTGTGTCTTTTTGGAGTATTCTTCCATGTCTAAAAGGTATAGATGTTTTGATCCTGTGTTTCGTCATTTTCACCATACTCTGGATGTTACTTTTTGTGAGGATTTTTCTTTTTTTAGTCCTAACCCCCCGCTGCACGTTTCCCCTTCAGCTACTCCAAGTGTTCGCCCGGCCCCCATTTTGGATGCGGTTGTGGATGAGGTTGCCCCCCCTCTCATCCTCTACCTTCGCCTCCTTCCCCCCCTCCCTTGCAGGTATAGTCTCGCCGCTCTCATGCTCAGCCCCCTCCTGCAACCTCTCCGGATCTTGGGTCAGGTAATTCTTCCCCTTTACATACCTCTCCTTCCCTTTCTCGCCGTAATCCTCCTCGAGGATCGCCATCCCCCCAATCGTTGGGGTTATCTGTGTAGTACCAATCATCCCATTTCCCACTATCTCTCATATGACAGGGGTTCCGACTTATATCATTGTTTCCTTGGCAAGCTTGAGTCCGAGTCTATTCCTTGGTTTGTGTCAAAGGCCCTTCAGAATCCAAAATAGGTGGCGGCACTGCAGACTAAAATGACAGCTTCAGAACAAAATCATACTTGGGATTTGGTTCTTTTACCTTCTGGCGAGAGTACCGTGGGTTGCAAATAGGTCTTTGCTACTTGATGGCTCCATTGACCGTTATAAGGCCCGCTTAGTGGCCAAGGGCTTTACTCAAGTTCCTGGCCAGGATTTTGGTGCTACCTTTGCACCGGTTGCCAAGCTTATCTCCGTTCGTCTATTCATCTCTCTTGCCGCATTCCATTCTTGGCCCCTTTATCAGCTTGATATCAAGAAAGCCTTTCTGCATGGGAATCTTCTTGAGACAATTTATATGGCCCCTCCTCCTGGTTTTCGAGCTGCGGGGGGAGTATTCGGGACAAGTATGTCGACTGCGCAAGTCTTTGTATGGCTTAAAACAATCTCCACGAGCTTGGCTTGGTCGTTTTAGCTCAGTCATCATCTCTATGGACTTTGTTCGGTGCCATTTAGACCATGCTTGCTTAATTCGTCGTAATTATGCATGTCAGTGTATAGTCTTGTTGGTGTATGTGGATGATATCATTCTCACTGGTGATGACTCTATAGGCATTGATCAAGTAAAACGGGATTTGACACACTTTTGATATTAAGGATTTGGGGAATCTCAAGTATTTTCTAGCGATTAAGGTGGCTCGCTCACAGTAAGGGATTTCCGTATCTCAAAGGACGTACACTCTTGACTTACTTAAGGATACTGGTATGTTGGGATGTAAACCTGCTTGTACTCCTATGGATCCCAATGTCAAGCTCACATCAGAGTCAGGTGAATTACTAGAGGATCTAGGCATGTATCAATGTCTTGTTATGCGTCTCATCTATCTGACCAATACTAGACCTGACTTGACATTTGCGGTTAGTGTGGTTAGCCAATTCATGCATGCACCTCGTATAGAATATCTTGATACAGTTCATCACATCTTGAGATATTTGAAGACCTCTCCTGGCTTGGGATTGTTTTTCCTAGTTGATCCTCAATCTGGACTCTCTTGTTTTACTGATGCTGACTATGCAGGATTTAGAATGGATAGGCGTTCTACTTCTGGCTTCTACACTTTCTATGGTGATCACCTTATATCATGGAAAAGTAAGAAGCAAACAGTTGTTTCTAGGTCTTCTACAGAAACCGAGTATAGGGCTATGGCACAAGGCACTTGTGAAATTCTATGGATGCGTTTTATTTTGGCAGAGTTAGGATTTGAGGAGACTACTCCTGCTTCTTTATTTTGTGACAAGTCTGCTATTATTTTGTCTTCTGATTCTGTCCTACATGAGCGTACTAAGCATATATAGGTTGATATACAATTCATTCAAACGAAGGTTCGGATTGTTATTGTGAGACGATCCTTTGTCTCTTCTTCTCAGCAGTGAGTAGATATGTTCACCAAGTCTGTAGGCCCAACATTACTCCAGTCGTCTATCAACAAGCTGCGTTTATTGAATATCTTCACACCAGCTTGAGGAGGAGTATTGGAATTAGGAAATAGTGATATTATAATTATGGTAGTGTTGGAATTAGGAAAGAGTAATATTGTAATTATGGTAGTGTGTATAAAATCTGTGATTGTGTCTATCACAGATTTAACACATTTTTATCTTCATTTCCTATTTTGTTTGTTTCCTATTTTGTAATATTGTTTCATTATAAATACAAGGCCCTACATCATTCATAGGTAAGCCAAATAATTATTTTCATTCTTTTTGACTTTCTTAAAGATAGAATCTATAGTGACTGAAAAAGTCTTAATGTCAATGGAAATGCTTCAACTCAGCCAGAGATGTAACCAGCAAACTACTATAACATTAAGTTTATTCCAAATTTTTTATATTATCTAAAACTATGGAAAATCTAACTGTCCAATTTGTAGAAAAATAATCATAGTATATGCTAAAAAAGTGGGCTACATGTAGCCTGTAAAGGCCATCTATAAAGCTTATCAATGCATTGTTATCTATATGCCAAAAGATAATTTACCTTTGAACCATGGTGGACCTTTTAGTTTTCATCATACAATATCGTCAACGAAGGAGGATATTCACCAATTACAATGAATAGAAGTAAAAACTCCCCACAGTTATTCATATTTGTAGATCTACACTTGAGTTGACTAAATGCATACCAATATTTTTCTAAAAACATACCCTGCTTATGATCTCTATAATTCCAGAAGAAATGACGTACTTGTAGAGTGTTTCATATACCAAAGGAACAGAAATCAGGTAATTAGGTTGGTAGTGTCGCAAATCTTCCTACAAAGAAATTTCAATGGTAAGAAGACAGAGATAACACATAAGACTAATAAATCAATTATAACAAACTAGATGAATTTAATTCTTTTTCTTTCAAAAGACAAAGACAACCAAACTGAGAGCTTAATTGATAATGTCTGATCTATGAAGCATGGGTACTTCGAAAAACATGCCGTACCCGTACCGGATACTTACTAGCATATGGTACCTCGTATGGTACTTCTGCATACATACCGAGTACACAAAACACGTACCTAAAATTTTTCTTGTTAATGGTTGTTTGGCATGTGCTAAAATAGCACATGCTATTTTAGCACATTATCTTATTTAAGTCACAATCATCTTATTTAAGTCACATTACCTCTCTACCACATCACTTCAAACCTAATCCATAGTTTACGTTTTTTTGTAAAAAGTCAAAAATTATACTAATCTAGCACTTCCTAAACAACCCCTTAATTTTTGACATAGTCACGCGTACCTATTATATACCCAAGTCGTACCGTACTTTAGTTAAAACAATATTTTCTTCTAGTATAGAGATAAAACTCTTTTCACTAGATTTCTTTTTTATTTTTTGTTTTATGGTTAGCATGATTTTAAAATTAAACTACGGTTTGTAAATTATTTAATATATTGACATTTAATTTTGATTTATACTTTTACTTTTGACATTAAATGTTAATTGTAAGTTGGACCTTAACAAATTAAACCATTTAATTAATTTTTGCATTACTCTAAATTAAAAATAAATATTTTTTTACAAGCGTACCAAGACATACTCGTACTCTATTTTTTTTTAATTTTACCCGTGCTTCATAGTGTCTGATCAATCAAAAGGTGGGAGTTTCATCAGTGAAAAAATTCTCCCAATTACTTAGGATCACTAGCAAAATCACTGCGATAAAAAATCAATTTGCATTTCAACATAAAGAACTTGACAAGGAAAACAACAAGAAGAAGAACACCTTTAAGTATTTCACTGTTGTGTATACTTGCTCAACTCCATGTGTAAAGATAAAATATTCACAAGCTCGTTCATATGCATGCCAAGGTGGAAGCATGCTCAGGAATCTATCCACAGGTTCAGCCGGTACAATGTCCCATAAATTATTTATCTAGAAAAAGCAAAACGCAAGCAGAACATCATAACAATAAGCCAAAATACTAATACAAGAAAATCAATTTGATTAATTTGGTGACAGAAGAGCCTTACACTACCCATTTTATGACACTAGGCTATGGTCATGTCATGTTGTCTCCTATTCGTCTTCTGGAGGGTTCTTACTTTCTTGTCTTCTTTCTACAAGGGATGTCTCATTCTAGTTGTTGTTCTCTTCTTTCACAATTAAACTCATGCTTTATCCAAAAATAATCAATTAAACGTCCACAAGGAGAAAGTTCAACCCTCAAAGTCATCCATTTTTCATCATCATCAAATATTATTCATGCTTCCATTACCATATCCCTTTGTGTTTATCTCAAAGGAAAATCCAGGTAACTATTTTCAGCTACGTTTTCCAAACAACTATGCCCTCCAAAAAGATAAATTACATAATAGAAAGTGCAAGATGAGTCTGGCAGTCAGACTCACTATGTTTCCAAATATCAGGAGACGAAACATACTGTTCAAATTTTTTTTCAGTACCCACAGGCACACTGAACTTTCTGTGCAACATAACATGCAACACTTGTGACCTTCACACTAACTAAAACACTCCGGCAGCAAAAAATTGTATTGACCAATTAGTTAAGGACAATCAAAATCATCTAATTTTAAGTTCATTGATTGGACTTGTATATTCGGTATGCATACATAACTAAATGTATGTTCCTCAGTTATTGGACTTGCATATAGGGTATGCACATGACAATAGGTGTGATGAGTCTTATCCACAACACCACCCTGAACTGGTGCTACACTCATTTTATGAAGTATCTGTCTAACAAAAGATTTAAGATATTTAATGAATCCCCCCAATCAACCAAATATTTGCAATTACTTCCACCTCTTATGCCCCTTTACAATGCATCCAACCATTGATTCACACAATTGCATGGTGTGTCATAAAACTGGATATTAGATCTCTTCCAAAAAAATCACCTAAAACGGACAATTCAAATCTGTGGTTACCCACCCAAAAAAAAAATCTGTGGTTATGATGGTTAAAAAGGCTTGAAAAATAGATCCTTTTATAAGTTCACAAAAAATTTCAATGCATCATGTCTGGATAGTGTGCTTAGGTTAAGAGAACTTTTAAAAAGTAGAAAACACTCAGACCTGGTGCAACAGATTCTTATGTGTAAGCATAACACCTTTTGGATTGCCAGTAGTTCCACTAGTGTATACCAGTGTAGCAACATCATCAGAGTTGATGGCTTCATAAGTATAGTGCTGCCCTGAAATCAAATTACATAATTTAATATAGCTAGTAAAAAATCAGTTTGCAAATATAAACATGCAAACAATTATCTCTGAAAGAAATGTAAAAATATTATATTTCACTAAATAAACGTTCATATGCATTCAATTAATACAAATTAAACTATAACTAAATTCATCCCTCCATTATTTTGCCTTTATAAAAATTAAAAGAAATTATTAGAAAATAAAAGAGTTCACAAGTAATAACACAAGGAAGTGTTCTATAGCAAAAGGAAATTTTAATTTATTAAGCTTGCTGTAGATTAACTTACTAGCATCATGAGACTCAAGCAAACGCATACGACTCTCACATCCCAAATCTATGATCTCCTTGTAATTGTAAACAGACAATCCCTCCAGCACTTTGCTAATCAGGCTTGATTTCTCCCCCCAAAGTAGTATGACGAATTTTGTAGCTGCCTGGGAACAGAATGTTTCTGCAATCCGGTTGAAAAATTCAGGATTGTCCACAGCAAGTGCGACACTGCAGTTATATTAACAAGGAAAGGAACATAGTATGTAATTCCATGAAGAGTGTATCTAGGAAGAGAAAGATAATTCACATCATTTAAAAAATAAACTAAACAGACGAAGTTCAATATGCCTCCAGCAGTTTCACATCACAAATTCATAAAAGATCAGCACAAAAAGTGGACGTGCTGCATCTTTGTATACTGCATTTAAGAAACCTCACCTGAAATTTCTGAAGTATAACTACATTACCCTGGCATGGTTTGAAATGTCATTCAACTCCCTGAGATTAAGTTGTCAATGTTTAGTTACCTAAGCATGGAAGGGGTGAAGATGGTATTCAAGCTCCTTGAGAGACTTAAAATGGAAACATGCAGCATGACTGTCAACATGCCTTACCAGCTGGCCCAGCAGCATCTTCACTATTTCAAAGAACTTTAACGACTACATCATCTTCAATTAGAATTACAATGTTAAGCTAAGTGCCTAAGCATTAAAGGGATGGGTGCAAAACTGCAACTTAACATATCTATCTGCAAAATTCCCACTTCCTCCTGCACCCCTCCCCCCTCACACACCCACCAAAAAAAAAAAGAAGAAGAAAATAATAAAAAAAAGAAGAGCAAGAAAAAGAAGAAATCATACCTTCCCATCTCTCTCGAGTCTCAACACTAAATCTCTTCTGATCTCAGGAATGGAAAGATTTTTTAATAAACCTAAAACGAATCGGAATAAGAAGAAGTACAAGAAAAATAGAGTAGACTTTACCAACTTAACAATGTTTTTGGATCATTGGCAGCAACTAATTATTGATACATGTAAAAGGAATTGGAATAAGAAGAAGAACAAGAACAAGAAAAATAGAGTAGACCTTACCAGCTCAAGAATGCTCTTGGTTCATTAGTAGCAATAAAGTATTTCTACATTTGAAGAGGAGTATTATACGCCGTCATTCTTTTTTATTTATCCATGGAGAAATGAGTTAAAACGTCATGTCATAATACTATTTCACTAGGAAAACACACACATGTACAATCGTGGGGGAGGTGTCTGATATTTTACAGATGCTATTGAATATCCTCAATAAGTTCCACACAACTAATTAAAACATCTCATTGACACCACAAATAATCTGATATTCTAAAAGCATTCTTTCAAGAAGGTTTTAACAATTAATATGCACATAACATAAGCTTTGCAGTCAACTACAAATTATTACCAGAGAAACACCTGGATTTCTATTATAATTATGATTTCAGTAACATATTATAAAGAAGATAATTATAAGAGACAAGATCAAGATTATGGATCATGCAAGAACAACATACATCTGAAAGAGTACTTCACTAACCTCTCAGAATGATTATATATCTGCAAAAGCTCTTCAACAGATGACCTTGACCCCCTCACGACATTAATTGCTCCAGTGGCCATTATACCTAAATCCAAATGATGCATGACAATGTAAACTGATAATAAAGCATATATATACGCACACAAATTTGATGTGTGAATTTCTATTTCGGGTAAGTTCTACAAATCTCACAATATGGCTGCATATCAACATTGTCTGAGGTTGTCTTGGTTGTCTTAGGTGAGTCTCCACATCTCAAGAGTTGCCTCTATGAGATGACACAATATCACAAGTCCTCTTGCCAAAACAATGGGTATATGGGTAAGTTTGCCAAAAAGACCCAATTTTGGGACCCAATTTTTGGTCTTTAGGAAAGAAAAATTCATCTAGCACATACAGGAGTGTAACTGTGCAATATAACATGTAAAAGAACATCTAACCCAGTGTGGTTAGTTTCATATATTCTTTTGACAATTTATACATCTAGACATTTTGTTTGAAAATTAAAATGTTGTCTGTAAGACTTGAACCCACATCGATAAGTCTTTACCTACATTTACCTACCAACTCAAAAGCAATTTTTACTGTCAAATCAATTTAATATATGTTTGGAAACACATCAAAAAAGCACATTGAAATGACACTTCTTTGCAAAATTGTTCCAAGATGCTTCTACAAAATCTCTTCTTCAAAAGCACATCACTAAAAGTACCGCACCGCCAACAAACACTTAGTACGCCATTGTATTCTTCTTACAGTCTTGATATGAGTGATGATGATGGTCCTTTATATAGATGATGGCAATGTCGACGATTAAGCCTGATTTCCACCTATTTGCTTATTTTGCGCGCCAAGTATGTATTATTTAACTAATACTTCGTCGTGTAACAAATTGAGCTTTGTAGCCCCACTATTGATATTTTAGACAATATTAACTATACTAGATCATGTATTTTCTTTAATTATGTTGTCTCTATAAAATTGTTTTCAATTTTTTGTTGGAATATGAAATATTGTATATTTAGGAGATCCCGTGATTTCTGTATATTACGGTTATTTAGGGATTTGATTTTAGCATTTGATTGTGTAATTATTTAATTCATTTTTCCTGTGTATCTTATATTGATTATATATAGACATGGTCTCACCCAAATTAGGGTAGCCAATATTGTACAACTCTTTTCTTGGTATCAGAGACAAAGAAACCCTAATCGCACCTACCTATCACTATCGCCAGCCTCTCCTCCCTTTCCTAGTAGCCGACTCACCTACACACCCCACTTCAACCACCCTACACCACCCGAAACCCTTTCTCTCTCCCTCGGCAGTCCTTTCCAGTTACTGCCGGGGTTCCTACAACAGCCGACCAGGCTTTGTCCTGGTTTTGTGCAGTTCAACATCCTTCTAGGGTGGTCCAAACTAGTTTCTAACCCTTTTAGGGTCGTGTGTTGCTAATGTGGTAAGCAACCTGTGTGTGTTTCTTATTACTTGGGCTACCGGTTTGTTCGGTAGCATCTCTTTTGTGTGACGCCGCTACTTCGGCTTCGTGGTGTTTCAGAATGTCTGACTTTGTTACCCAAACCCAGAGCATTATGCCTCGTTCAGATGTTTCCCTTGCCTCTCATGTTCTGGTTCATCGGATTACCAGTGTGTTGCTTAATGGTCGCAACTTACTGCTTAGAATCGGTCTATACGTCTCTACCTTAGGGGTAGAGACAAATCTGGATGGCTTCTGGAAACCGAGACACAACCTCCCGCTGATGATCCTAAGCAGGCTCGATGGAATATTGACAATTGCACCTTACTTGGTTGGATGTTCAACTCTATGGAAGAACGCATCTACAACATGTTTATGTAATGTGATACAGTTCCTCGGTTGTGGAGTGCTCTTACCCAGATGTACACACATACCCACAATGATACTAGGATTTTCGATATCTATCAGGATATTTCTCATGCCTCTCAGGAAGCTTTGGGTTTTACCGTTGCTGAATTTTTTGGGTATCTTCAGTCTCACTGGGAGAAGTTAGCACAGTACGAGCCATTGAGTGATTTTCTAGGTGTTGCTGCTTCTATTATGTCTGCTCGTCTTGCTCGCCAGCACACCTATCAATTTCTGATGGATTTAAAACCTGAATTCGAGTCTCTTCATATTCAAATTTTGAACACATCACCTATGCCATCCCTATATGAGGCTTTTGCTACTATTGACAGTGAGGAGCGTCGTCGTCGATTGATTCAATCTGTGGCTCCACTTCCTTCCTCCGTTCTTGCCTCATCTTCAGTTTCAGATCAGATGGCTTTTGCTGCCAAGTTTAGTTCTCGTGCTTCTAGTAGCAAGGTTATTTGCCACCATTGTAGCGCAGTTGGTCATGTCTAAGCACGGTGCTTCAAGCTTCATCTTGAGTTGAAGCAACACTTTGCAAGGGCACACCCTTCAGGCCCTCCCCATACTGCTGTTATTGCAGACACATGTAGTAGTCCTCAGCCAACTCATTCTATTGATCTTTATCAGCTTTAATCTCAGATTGGTCGCCTTTAAGAGCAACTTGGTTCATTCACTACCATGTCTCCAAGTGTCCCTTCTACTGCCACACTCGCTACAGGTACTCCTACAACCTTTCATGTTCGCACTGCACCTACTTGGGTCTTGGATTCTGGGGCCAATGATCATATAACCGGTGAGTTTTCTTGTTTATCCTCTCCTATCTCTACTACCGCTCAGACTATACGTCTTGCTGATGGGTCTATTTCACATGTCCAACATAAGGGTGATGTGTCCTTGTCGTCTGATATTACACTTACTTTTGTCTCACATGTGCCCCGTTTTGCTTATAATCTTCTCTCTGTTAGTTACCTTGCTAAAAACCTTCATTATGTTGTTATTTTCTTACCTACTCATTGCTTATTACAAGACCTGACTTCAAAGAAGATTTTTGGTAAGGGGTTTGAGCGCAACGGGCTATACTACTTCGGGGACCCAACACCTTCTCATCCTACCACTTCTAGCCTGCAAATAGCTATGTTACCTGAGTTGTCTTCCTATGTGTTTTCTTTTCAGACTTTAGCCTTATGGCATGCTCATTTACGACATGCAAACTTTAATTATTTATGTTTACTTTTTCTGTCACTTAATAAAGCTTGCAAGGATCATCAGTTTCATTGTGTTGTTTGTGAACTGTCTAAACATACTCGTACTTCTTATGTTCCTCACATGTATCGCGCCTCCTATATATTTGACCTTATTCACTCTGATATCTGGGGTCCTTCTCCTCTTTTGGCTTTTTCTGGGCATCATTATTGTGTGACTTTCATAGATGACCATTCTAAGTGTACTTGGATTTATTTGCTTAAAAAGAAGTCTGATGTGCTTCCATTTTTTATTCAATTTCTCCAAATGGTCAAAACCCAATTCCACACCGCTGTACGCAATATTCGTTTTGCTAATGGGGGGAGTATATCTCCGATGCATTTCACTCACAACTTAATCAGTAGGGAATTTTGCAGCAACTCACTTGTACTTACACCCCTAAACAAAATGGGATTGCTAAACGTAAAAACCGTCATATTATGTCTGTTGTCCAGTGTCTTCTTTGTGGGATGAATGTCCCTAAATCCTACTGGCATATGGCTATGCTTACTGCTATTTACCTCATTAATTGGACACCTAGTTGGACTCTTCACGGGTTGGCCCCTTTTCAATTACTTCGTCCAGATACCGTGTTATTTCCTCTTGTGCCTCGTGTGTTTAGTTGTACTTGTTTTGTTCAAGATCGTAGTCCTTGTAGACACAAATTTTAAAACATGAAGTGTTTCAACACATTTCAAAATTTTATGTTATAAATGTCCACTGTTTAGTTTTTGGACTAAACAGTGTTGATTATTTGAATAGCAGGTTCTTATTTCCGATCTGTATTTCAGATCGTTAATTACGCATTTTATACAAATGAAACCTTCGATTAATGAAGAACAAAATAAACAACAGAAGACAATTTAAGAAGAAAAAAATATATTTTATTGAAATTGTTATGGGCTTTGAACCCTCGAATACAAAATACAATTCTTGGGTTTGGAACCCTACCTATTCATCGCCATTAGCGTAGGCTCTTGAGTTCTCTAGGCTTCTCTTCTTCTTTCTTGTAACAACTTCTTTAGCTCTCAATTTCTTTCTCTCTCTCTCTGATCTTTTCACTTCTGATTTCTTGATCCCCCGTCTGGTGTGATGGTCCTCATATTTATAAAGGGCCATCAGGTGATAGGAATGCCCCATCTTCAATTTGAATTTCAAATTGAATGATAACGCCATTTGAATTTTGAATAATAGCACTATCTGATTAATCGTATATCTGATTAACCGGATTAATCTTTGAGGTTTCATCCTATGTGGTGTCTTTGCTGTAGGCTCTACAGGTATCATCTTTCGTAGGCTTCACGTGTCACTTGAGCATCTTGAATAACGTCATTAAGATACGACGTCGTTTTATTTATGTACTTCAACAGATCATATTGATCCTTTTTAGGAAGTGATTACCTACAACATTCCTATCATAGGCTCTATGTGTGTCATTGACTGTATTTGAATTTTAAACATAAATTTGGTTGAAATTTATGTGCCAACAGTCCTACTCAAACCAAGTTAGATAACAAGTCTCTTAAATGCATCTTCTTGGGCTATTCCGTTCTCTCTAAAGGCTATAGGTGCTATGATCCGTCGTCTCGTCGTTTTTATCATTCTATGGATGTCACATTTTGTGAAGATATGCCATTTTTTGGTTCTAACCCTATGTTTCAGGATTCCACCTCGAGTGCACCGCCTTCTACTGTGTCACCGAGTGCTTGCCTTGTTCCTATCATTGATTCATTTGCTCCTTCATCATCGCTTGTATCTGCACGTGCCAGTCCTCCGCCATTACTGACATACTCCCGTCGCCCTTGTGCTCCGCCCCCTCCAGCATCTTCTTTGCCCTCAGGCACAGGTACTCCCTCTACTATTCACTCCCCAACTCCTTCGCATTATCCAACCCGTGAACACCATCCCCCAAATCAGTTTGGTTGGTTTAGTAGTACTAATCACCTTATTTCCCAGTTTTTATGTTATGATGCCCTTTCAGCTTCTCATCGGTCTTTTCTTGGAAAACTTGAGTCGGTCTCTATCTAGTAGTCTGTGTTTGAGGCTCTCCAAAATCCCTAATGGGTTGCAGCTCTGCAAATTGAAATGGCTGCTTTAGAGCATAATCACATTTGGGATCATGTCTCTTTACCTTCTGCTGAGACAACTATTGGGTGCAAGTGGGTTTTTACTATCAAATACTTGGCTGATGGTACAATGAACCGATATAAGGCTCATCTTGTTGCTAAGGGCTTTACATAGGATCCTGGCAAGGATTTTGGGGCTACGTTTGCACCTGTTGCTAAATTGACCACTGTTCGTTTACTTATTTCCTTGGCTGCCTCTTCTTCTTGGCCCCTGCATCAACTTGATGTCAAGAATGTTTTTCTACATGGGGACTTACTTGAGATGATCTACATGGATCCTCCACCCGGGTTTTGGGCTGAAGGGGAGTATGCTAGCAAGGTCTGTCGTTTGCGCAAGTCTCTCTATAGCTTGAAGCAATCTCCTCGTGCATGGTTCCACCGTTTCAACTTCGTTATCCTCTCCATGGATTTTATTCAATGTCACTCCAACCATACATGCTTCATTCGTCGTCAGCCCAATGGTCGATGTATTATTTTGTTGGTCTATGTGGATAATATCATCCTTACTAGAGATGACACCATTGGTATTGCTAAGGCAAAACAGGAGCTTAGTCGAAAATTTGACATCAAGGACTTGGGTCCTCTCAAATATTTCTTAGGGATTGAAGTAGCTCGTTCTCGCAGTGGGATATCATTGTCCCAACGGAAGTATACTTTGGATCTTCTTCGGGACATCGGTATGATGGGGTGCAAGCCTGCATCTACTTCTATGGATCCGAATCTGAAACTTTCGGCTGAGTCTGGTGAGTTGCTTTCTGATCCATCTCACTACCAGAGATTGGTAGGACGTTTGATCTATTTGACTAATACACGACCAAATTTGACATTTGCTGTGAGTGTGGTTAGTCAGTTTATGCATTCACCTCATACTGCTCACCTTGATGTTGTTCACCACATCTTGAGATATCTCAAGTCATGTTCAAGTTTGGGTTTATTCTTCCATGGTGTGATTCAGACAGGATTGTCATGTTTTACTGATGCAAACTATGTAGGTTCATTGACTGACAAACGTTCCACTTCTGGGGTATGCACTTTCCTTGGTACCCATCTTCTGTCATGGAAAAGCAAGAAACAAGCGGTTGTTTCTCGATCATCTGCTGAAGTTGAGTACCGAGCCATGGCACATGGGACATGTGAGTTACTATGGCTTCAGTCCATTCTTACTGAGTTAGGCCTTGAGGAGAACAATTCCTCCAAGCTATTTTGTGACAATCTGCCATCTTACTTGCCTCTAACTCTGTGCTTCATGAGCGTACTGGGCATATTGAAGTTGATATTCATTTCATCCGGGAAAAGGTTCGAGCTGGCATTGTATGTCCCTCGTTTGCTCCATCTTCTAATCAGACTGCCGACATCTTTACCAAATCTGTAGGACCATCCCAACTTCGATCTTCCATTGGCAAGTTGGGTTTGGTTGGCATCTTTGATCCAGCTTGAGGGAGAGTGTTGGAATATGAAATATTGTATATTTAGGTGACCCCGTGATTTCTATATATTACGGTTATTTAGGGATTTGATTTTAGGATTTGATTGTGTAATTATTTAATTCCTTTTTCCCGTGTATCTTATATTGATTATATATAGACATGGTCTCACCCAAATTAGGGTAAGCCAATATTGTACAACTCTCTTCTTTTTTAACATCTCTTGAGTTTGTAAGTAGCATACCCTTCTCTACCACAACCAGGTCATCTTAGATCCCCTTGTGCCAGTGGTCGATACAGAAACTATAAACTGAGTAAACCATGTAGCCAACCCTTAAAACAAAAAGCATATCTCAGCCCAAATTTAAACCAAGGTGATGAATGCAATTCTAAAAACATCAGCAAGGAAGTTATACACAGAACAGAATTGGTTCATTTGCTGCAACTTGATATAAGTAGTTGGAATCCCTTTACGTATCAAAATGGATAAAAAAAAAATCTGCGCGCACACAAAAAAAAAATAAAAAATAAAAAAAATTGCAAATACGTGAATCAAACACACACACAAAGGTGAGAAAACTAGATGATGATATACACAAGTTACTAGTGCACTAAAAGCTTCAGGTGCGAAAATTAAATATAAACATAACTGCTGCGTACCTTGATCTGCAATAAGCCACCGGCAGGAATTATCAGCAAAAAGTGCTAGTTTTTCGCCTGGCTTTAGTCCAATAACTCTAAGGCCTTCAGAGAAGTTCAAAATTTCCTGCTCAATCTGCAAGTTTGGAAGTAAAAATGGATTTCAGATGTATATCATGAAAAATAAAATTAAAAAAGCAGTATTTTGTTTCTTTATGAATGTATAAAGAAAAAAAGTTGCAATGGACAGGTAAGGAGCTAAGTTCAGATCAACATGGTTAGAAGGAAATGATGAAGTACCAAAACAGACATCCATATATCAGGTGAAGCGCCAAATAGCTGACTGAACAATTCAATTTATATACGATTGGCAAACAACATTTCAATACATGAATACTGATTCCTTTATTAGCATTTAGTTGTAGCACAGAGAGCATTATCTTTCATATATTCAAAATAGAAGCTGAAGATAAAGGTTCAATGCCAATATCAATGTGCTAAAAGATTGATACAAGCCAATAACTTTGGAATACTGAACACAAACATATACAAAAGCGTAATACATCTTGACTATGAAAGATAATCAAATGTAGGAAGCCGCGAATCAGTCTTCAACAACTGTACTGGGACCATAGTGCTGTAGCACAAAAATGTAAATGGACAACTATGTTACATGGAGTATGGTTGGGTGACTGGGTGTCTGATTTATTAAATCTCTACAGAGCTAGGGCAACACAGCTGAAGCATCCAAATGCATGAGAGAGAGAGAGAGAGAGAGAACAAGCAGATTCAAAGTTACAGGAATGAAGTTGTAACTTGAGAAAATACTAATGGTGGTCTCTTGAAGTTTGTAGGTCTTTTGTAAATACAAGAAGTCCAAATGGCTGATTAAACCAAATCAAATCAAGCCTTAAGTCCTATTAAATGGAGTCAACTATATGAATCCTTCTTCTCCACTCGAATTTATCAAAGGCCATTTCATTGGTCATATCAAGAAGATTCATATCTCTATTTACTACGCTAGCCCAAGTCAATCTAGGTCTACCCCATTCCCTAAAGCTTCCATCTACCGTCACTGCCTCGCATCTCTTCACTACTGCCTCTATTGGTCTCCGTTGTATATGACCGAACCATTTCAATCTATTCTCTCTCAACTTATCTTCTATCGGTACTACTCCTACCTATTCTCGAATATACTCATTCCTAATTCTGTCTTTCCTAGTCTTGTCATACATCCACTTTAACATCTTCATCTCAGCAACACTCATCTTATATACATGTTTCTTAGTTGTCCAATATTTTGTCCCATATAATGTCGCTGGTCTAATTGCCGTTCTATAGAACTTTTCTTTTTGTTTAGTGGATACTCGTCTATCGTACAATACCCCAGACATACTCCTCCACTTAAGCTACCCCACCTTAACTCTATGGACCACATCCGCTCCAATCTCCCCAACCGTTGTGATAATCGATCCTAAATAACGAAAATATTCACTCTTAGGTAGTTCTTGGTTCTGAATCTTTACTTCTTCTCTACTTCCATTGTTACAGTTACTAAAATTACACTCCATGTACTCTATCTTAGTTCTGCTTATCCTAAATCTTTTACATTCAAGTCCTTCTCTCCAAGTCACTAACTTGGTATTAACTCATTCTCTAGTCTCATCTACTAACACGATATCATCTGTAAAAAGCATACACCACAGCACATCATCTTAAATACTTCTCGTCAACTTATCCATAACTAAAACAAAAAGATAAAGATTTAAAGTTGATCCTTAGTGTAACTCTATAGTAATTGAAAATTCATTTATCTATTCACCAAGCAATCTAATAGTAGTCACCACACTATCATACACGTCCCTAATCACATCAATGTAACCTTTTGTCACCCCTTTCTTCTCCAACACCTACCAGATTATATCCCAAGACACTCTATCATACGCTTTCTCAAAATCGATAAAAACCATATGAATGTCTATTACTTTTCTCCATACTTTTCTATAATTCTCCTCAAAAGAAAGATTGCTTCCATTACTGACCTACCAGGTATAAACCCAAATTGATTATCCAACACCTCTGTTATATCTCACAATCGATGTTCCATCACTCTCTTCCACACTTTCATTATATGACACATTAGCTTGATTCCTCTATAGTTGTTACAATTTTGGACATCTTTATTTTTATAGATTAGCACTAAAATACTCTTTCTCCACTCCTCTGGCAATTTCCTAGTTGACAAAATCTTGCTAAATAACCTAATCAACCAAGCAACCCCCTTCTTACCCAAACATTTCTAAGCTTTAATAGGGATATCATCGGGTCCTAAAACCTTATTTGATTTCATATTCTTAAATGCAATCTCCACTTCAAAATTCCTAATCCTGCGATAGAATCTATAATCTTGATTTTCCTTATTACTGGCTACTTCCTCCCCTATTGGCCTACCTCCATGTTCCTCATTTAACAGCTTCTCAAAATAGTTCTTTCACCTCTCCTTAATCTCTTCATCCTTCACCAACACCTAAGAGTCTTTACTCTTGATGCACTTAACCTGATTAAAATTTCTTATCTACCTCTCTTATCTTAGTAAGTTTATGTATTCTCTTCTCTCCCTCCTTACTATCTAGTCTAGTGTATAAATCATCATAAACTTTCAACTTAACCTTTCTCATTACTTTTTTGACCTCTTTATCAGCCAATATATAGCTCTTAAGATTTTTTGCAGTTCTATCCTTCTACCACTTTTTAAAAGCACTCTTTTTTCATCTTTATTACAGCTTGAACCTTCTCTCTCCACCACCAAGTTTCCCTAGAGTTGGGTCCCTTTCCTTTCGACTCTCCAAAAACTTCCCTTGATATTCTCCTTATACAATTGGCCATCGAGTTCCACATAGCGTTGGCATCATCTTTCAAATCCCAAGTATCTTCTTTATCCATTCTATTATTAAATATTTCTACTTTATCCCCTTTTAGGTCCCACCATCTCGTCCTACGACGCCCACTATCCTTTCTAGCTTGGTATTGCCCTTTAAAGCATAAATCTAGTACCAAAATTCTATGTTGAGACGTCAGGCTCTCTCCAAGAATCACCTTACAGTCACTACATTTTAGACAGTCCACTTTTCTCACTAGAACATAATCTATTTGGCTCTTAACTGACCCACTCTTAAATGTTATCAAATGCTCCTCTCTCTTCTTATACATAGTATTGGCCACCACCAGGTTGAAGAAGTTATTTTCCAAACTTATTTGATGAAAATCAAATATAGAAGTTACTTATAAAAAGTAAAATAAAATAAAAAACGTTTCCCCATGTATGGAAGTTGGAGATTCACCAAGCTAAGTGCCCTTAGTGTCATGTCAAAGCCTATGAAGCATGGACACTCCAAAATCGGAGTCGTGGCGATGTCCGACACGCGGACACGCCGGGGACACGTACAGGACACCCCAAATGGCGTGTCCTTTTAATTTAATGATTTTTTTGTAATGGACACGGCGGGGCTCACTTTCTTTCTTTCTTTCTTTCTTTCTTCTTTTTTTTTTTTTTTCTCTTCTTTTGCCTCTCTTATTTAGTATTTTTGTGAAGAATATTGTTGGATGTTGAATACTTTCCCCTTCTCGTTTTAGTTCTTGTTATCATTTATTATAACTTTTTGTGAATGGATAATCTATTAATTTGTTTAAATGTAGTAGTTATATTTATTGAATTAATGTTACTAAGTTAGTGTTTGTTAATTTTGATTTAGGATGAATGTAATATGAATCTACATAACACAAAAAAATATATACAAAAAATAAATAAAAAAATTTGCCTTGTCCCCCGCCATATCCGTATCCGTATCCGTACCTGTGTCCCCATTTTTTGAAAATTGCCATGTCCCATGTCGGTGTCCGTGCTTCATAGGTCAAAGCCCAAGACTGATAGTTGTGTTCACCAATCTTAGGTTAGTCAATTGATAGACAACAGAAGCATGGAACAAAAGTAGCAAGATAGCTAAGGACAAAAAATAGTTAATCTCTTAGTTCTCTCCCATTATTCTCACGGATGTAGTAATGAGTTTTAATTCTGTGGAAAATTATCACTGCTAAGGATAAAAGCATTCTGATACACATTATAGATACAAAACAATACAATTCTTGGATTTAGAAGATAATCAAGTATATGAAGAAAAACAAAGAAAATGACCTGTTTATAAGTCATGGTCAAAGGGGGGTCATGATATGGATCCACCAATGCTACCCGATCACCAAATCTTTCTGCTGAAGACCTCCAAATGTCTGGAACTGTATTCCACTCACTGGAGACCAAGACACCATCACCAGACAGAAATACACTTTCCAGAAAAGGTGAACACTTTCTAATCTTCATTTCCTCCGTCTACAATGTAATATGAACAAAAATAGATGTTGGGCCTTTCCTTTTAACCGCATTCATATACTTCAATATCACAAAATGTAAAATCAAAGAATGTGAAACAAAACATAAATGCTCTGATAAATGAAAATTTTAATGCCTTCTTCAACTAATACACAAAAGAAAATTAAAAAAAATAAAGCAAAATATAAATAGTTAAAATATGGGGAAAAGACTATTATGGTTTTAATAATTCTTAGTTCTTGATATTTTTGGAATAGGCTCTTTTTATGTAAATCCATACTTGTGAAACATTGTGAAAATTGTAGTACTCAACCTTCCAATGATACGATTTCAGTCAGATATAGCAATTAAGCATATAGACAGATTACAACTCTACTACAAGTATAATAAGGGAGCCTAAATGACATTATCTTGGAATTTAGCACACTTTAGTTCAGATGGACCCAAAGAATACGCGAGTTTGGTAATATTACAAGATTCTACTAGACCTTGAATAATTTAGATAGATTAGGAAGCTGTAAATTATAATTTAGTTGTTGCATTTGATTCATATTAGATTTCTATGTCAGCTAGACCTAGTTTCAGAAAATAATGCAAGTTTTCAAGGTTTACAAAGCCCACAAGTGGCATAGGTTTTTTCTTTTTTTCCCTTCCTCTTCTTCCTCTTTCTCTCTTTTACTTTTCTTGCCTCTCCCCAATTATATTTCTGCACTCTTACAAAGAGGCTTGGAAGCACTGTTTGAGGCTGCCCTCCCTTCCCAGTCACCCATTATCTTTTTCCCTCAATATTGAGAATCATACGGTACAACACACCAAACAAAAAGGCACTTCAGAAGGAGCTTTTGTACCCGACACCTCTCTCCAAAGGAACTGGAAGCAGAGCCCTTACACCCAAAAGGACCTCATTAAAATGGCCAAAAGAAGATTTTTTTCCTTCTCAATAAAGAATTTTTTTAATTATCTTGTAGAACTCCAGCAGAAGTTAGATTAGGATTATAATCATAATTACTTATACCTTTTAAGAGCTGTAAGAGAATGTTCAAGCCATGTGAGCTAGGCACGTGAACTCTCACCAGGTGAACCAGGAAAACTCAAAACACTCATGTTCATATCATAGAAAACATAAATTATTATTATTTAGGAGCACTTACCAATCAGTCCTATTAACTAGAATTATTTACCTATAGGTCCTATTGATAAATTTATCACTGTAAATTTATTCATAAAAACAAGAGAGACTGATAAAATTACCATTTGATAAATTTATCAATAGAACTTAATGGGTAATAAGTCCCAAAAGTAAGACCTATTGATAATTTATCCTATTATTTATATAATAAAAAAAATTGCAAAAAACTTTTATTCTAAAAAATAGTGGGATTACATACTACACTATCATCTTAATGTATACACAAAATACATTACATTTTGCAGATCTTAACTTTAGTTATTGTGAATTGTTATAAAGAAGCAGCTTGATGGTCACCAATAGAGGCATTGTTTTGGTTAACCTCCCAAAAAGATTACCCTAGTGTATTCAATCTGAAAAAATAACTGAGTTCATTTCAGTCAAACATGGGTTGGGTTCAAATTTAAATCTCTCATGATATCCAAATGTTGCCATTATCTCACAACAACCATATTGTCCAGACTCAGCTATTTGCCACAAATCCACTAATAGCAAAATCCAAATTCACATACAATTCTCAACTCTGCACGCAAATCAGGAATACAAATGACCTTATAAAAAGATACAGAGAGAGAAATCTGAAATCAATGACACAAAAGGAATTTTTTATTTTTAATTTCATTTTCATGGGTGCAAGCATGTCTTATGTTTGGTAAAAAAAAATTCTTGTGCTTTCTTGTGTGTCAGACTTGTACAAAAAAAATTTGTATTCTAATTTTTTTGAGTAATATTAGGAATTCTAAATATTTTACCAAATGTTCTACCAAATGTCTCACATGAATGTGAGACCCACACATGTAAGACATTTGGTAAAATATTTGGTCAAAAATTTGGGATCCTTAACATTTTTTAATTTTTTTAGACTGTCTCATTGATGTACAATTGCTCCAAAAAACAAAAAAAAAAAATTAGGAAAATTATAGTTTAGTGAAGAAAAAAAAATTTACGCGGAGGGGTCAACAGAGTAACTTGCACTGTCACAGTATTTGAGTTGCAACCCGCCACTTTGTGAGTTGCACCCCATGTTTTGTTAAATTTTTTTTTTCTTTTTTTTGTCCCTTAATTCTAATTCCTCACAAAAAATGGGAAATTCTAATATACACCATTTTAAAAATAATGTATCATATGCATTTTATGTCATTTTTTTTAATTATAACTAATTTTCTTCTATAATTATAACATTATTTTAATCTTGACTATTTAATTATGTTTTATGTTACGTTTAGTTAAGATTTTTTTTAGTCCTGACTTAAAAATTTTAAATTATATTATTTTTCTTTTTAATTATAAGGTATATATATATAATACATCCTCTTTGAATGATGTGCACTAATAAGGTGGAAAAAAAAAAAATACAGTACAGCACAGCACAGCACAGCACAGCACCTACATCATAAACATGATGATTTTTTCTGATATAAAAAAAAAAAAATGATGACTTTTCTCTCTCTTCAACATGTTATACTACCAAAATATGCATATAGATACAAAATAAAAGCAAATAACAATTAACAGCAAACTAGCATTAATAGCAAATTAAGATTACAACACCACTATTCTTAGCACAAAAATAGCATTTGCACGCATTAAATCATCTGATAAATTAAAGACTGTATTTAGTTAGAAGATTTAATAAAAGAAATAAAAAAGAGAAAATAAATGTAACTTAACATTTTGTTTGGTTGCGAAAAGAAAGTGAAAGAAAAATAAAATCCCATTTTCTCTTTTAAATTTATTTAGGCTCTCTTCTTCCTCTATTTTCCAACTCAATTAAAAAATTCGAATCCAATCCATTATTTTCTTTCTCCAATCAAACACAGCGTAAAGATTGATGTTATTAAGGACTGATCAAAGAATTACCGTAGACTCGCAGTGAACTCTGAAAAGCGGAGTCGAAGGAATACGAGTTGGGCGGAAATTTTGGTAGAGCAGGTTGGAGTTGATCGATCGAGAGTGAGAGAATAGGAATTGGAAAGTGAGTCGTCGATCAAGAGAGTTGAAGACGAGATTGGATGTCAAAACAATCGTCATGATTGTTATCTGAATCGCAGAAGCAGAAGCAAAGAGAGATGTTTGATGCCAAATATAGTTTGAGAATTAGAGAGAGAGAGAGTGTGCGTCTAGGATGTGGAGAAAAATTGGAACATGGAAGTCTCCGCAGAGATCGGTTAATCAAGGATGGGTCGGGGGCTCCTGAGTGAGAGTGAAGACAGACGAACGACTTTACAACATTGTCTTTTTATTGGGTGTGTAATAACTTACAAAATAATAACAATAAGATACATCTCATTAATTTGGGAACACTAATAGATCACTAATAAGGTAAAAATTCAAAAAAAAAAAAAATTTAAGACTAAAGCATCACATCAATCAGTGAGACCTATTCTCTAGAGCTTCTTTAGTATTCCTAATTTAGAGCTCCCAAACATTTTTCAAATAATAATACAACAATGATTTTTAGACCACTAAAAAATATTACTAATAGTACTAATAGAACTAATGTATTGGAAATGGTAAAAAATAAAAAAATTAAGGCATAGAAAGTGAGCAGGACTTACTGCCGCATCACTAGTGCTCCCTTTTTAATCCTTCCAAACATTTTTCATAATAATAATAAATAGTAGTATAATTTTATAGTTATTATGTCATAATTAAAAAAAATATTATGATTAAATAATAAAATTTTATAAATTATAATTAAAAAAATAACATAATTAAAAATACATATAATATACATTTTAAAGGGTATATATATTAAAATTTCTTGTTTTAAATAATTTATTCACCAAATTAAATTTGTGTTAGTTTCGATCGTATTCTTATCTATTGTGATTACTTTTATATATCGCAATGGTTACAGTGTCATCCATACAATCGACGTAAACAATTCTAAACAATTCATATCACACCAAATTCGATTGAGGTAGGATTGCTTCATTTTTTTTTCCACCCTGCTACAGACCCCCAGTGACTTGCGACCCCCAGTGACATGGCAACTGATGTGTAAACACAGCTGGAAAAAAAAACAAAAAACAAAAAGACAAAACAAAATCTGGAAAAAGCGGGAACCAAACCTGTAGCTCGTTTATCCCCACCTCTCACTGTCATCCTCGTCTTCTCTCGTCTATCCTCACCTCTCGCCGCCACCCTCCTCCTCCACCGACGACGGCCATAGCTCGGCGGAATTTCTGCAAAAGTGTGTTCTGGACAACGGCCATAGCTCGGCGGGAATTTCGACAACGGCAAAAGTTTTGAGCAATATCAGATTACTGTGCCTCCAATACAGTTTTGAATGGTAATATCTCCATAGCTCGCTCTCATCTATCCTCAATCTTCGTCGCTCTCATCAATCTGGTTGTCCTCTGTCCATCAATTTGTAGGAAAATTTATAGTTTTGTGCCCCTGTAAGTAGTAAACTGAATGGAGATAATTAATTGTTGCTGTTCACAATTTTCAAGAACTACTTTCAGTTGAAACAAACAGGGGAAAACAAGTGTTAGGTGTAAAGAGATATCTTTTTCTTTTTGTTTAGCTCACTGCAGAGGCATTATAAATTTTCCACCAAAGTATATGTTGAGATATGACGAGTTTTCCCCTAAAAACTTTCAAGTAGATGTGCTAGTTTAAGCAAATAGAATGGAACCTAAGGCATTATGTCATATCCAAATCCATTGGGTTTTGGTTTTACTACCCTATTGCCTTTGTAGTATAACTTCATTCGTACGCCCTATTGATGATATATCACCTAGAATGTTTTGTAGAGGTTTGATCTGGATTGGAGTCTGTTATGTGATTAAAACATCTTAATTGTGTCTGGCAATTCAGATGTTCTAATGAGCTTTTCGCAGTTCACAAGTAAATTTATCAGAAAAATGTTGAGGACTTACTTATAGACTCTGTAGGTACTAATACTATTTCATGTGATATTGAATTATTGGATCATCTTCGCCTGTTAACTGGTGGTGTGTAATAACCCTTACCACTGATTACTGATAACCCTACTGATTACTGCTAAACTGTGACTGATTATGATAAGTAATTGAATCAACTAAAACACTGAACTGATTGATTGAACGTACTAGTTTAAATTAATGTCTATCTGTTTGACTGTTTAATTATCTGTTCATGTTTTATGTTTAAACTGCAAATTGAATGCCTTATCGGCGGCCGAATCTGAAATTGATTAGTGATATGTGTTAATCGTAATTTATGTGATTTTATGGCATATTTATCTGAATTGTGATTTGGTATGATTAAATTAGATTAAAATGAGCTAAATTACATAAGTTGTCCTATTTACCATATTGCCATCCTAGTGGCCCACTACCTAACACATTTGAGCCTTGCACTTGATCACATAACATTTCTCTCTCAGCCATTTTAGAGGCCACAACCGACTAGAGTGAGAGAGTGAGAGAATAGGAGTGATTTCAACTTGATTTTGTGAATTGGCTTGAAGAACTTGAAGAATTGAAGTATAGATTGCAAATTGAGCTCCTAGACCTTGAATACATGACTTAAGGTAGAACATCCACCTTCTTGAACTTGTTTTTGAATTGATCCATGCATGGTTCTTGTGTCCTTAGTGATTTGAGCCTAGATTGAGCCTTATAATGTTGAATTGAAGCTTAATCTTTGCATGCATGGCATACTCTTGCATCTTGAGGTTGTTCTTCATAAATTTGCCACATGCATGTTCATATCTTGAGTAGAGACTATGAATTTATCATGTCTTTGGAAGATTTGGCTCATTAGAGCATGTATTGAAGCTTGGAAGCTAGTTAAAGTCTTGCATGTTCAATTTAAGTCATGTTCATGAAAATTGGTTTGAATTGGATTTATTTGAACTACCTTTGGGCTTTGATTTTATAAATTGAGTTTTGAAATATGTTATATTATGGGTTTTGAAGTGTTTTCCAAGAAATGGGCCCAAAAGAATCGAATTTGGTTCATTTGAAGTTGATTTTGAGCTTGAGGTTCAAATTTGGGAATTCCAGATTTTGAACTCACGCTCGAGCGGGGTGACTGGCGCTCGAGCGTGAAATTCGTGCTCCCAGCACTTTGCACTGTTTTGAAGTCCGCTCGAGCGGAACAATTGATGCTCGAGCGGGTGTCGAGCGCCCAATCGAGCGTGATTTTCACACATCTAGCACTTTTGACTGTTTTGCAGTACGCTCGAGCGGGTAAGTCTACGCTCGAGCGGAAACCTTTGTCTGCATGTCCGCTCGAGCGGAGTAACCTACGCTCGAGCGTGAACCTTGTTTTTTGAGAATTCTGAAAATGCTTTTTAAGTGCATCTTTGCATCGTCATTTCAACCTAAGCATTCCTAGGCCTAGTTTAAGGTATCTTAATGAAGATATAGATGTAGAACCACACCGAGGCAAATTAGGGATTAAGTTACTATTTTCCTAACTGTATAGCTTAGTGTGTCTGTAACTGTGTAGGGTTGGCATCTGAGGACGCGCTCTAACTTAACTGTAGCCCAGAACTCTATGGGTAACAACTGTGTAAAGATATGTTCAAATATGATTTTCTGAACAATTGAACTGTACTGTTTTCTAAGATGATACTGTTACTGAATGAATGATGTCTTAATTGTGAACTATATTGTGGCATCCTTAGCAACCTACTGTTACTGTGTTGTACTGCTACTGTCACAGAGATCTCTATCGGTTCCCATGTTGGAACCACTACTGTTTACTGATATGATGGCCATCAACTGACTGTTCGGTCTGATAAGACCTACTGTACTGTTTTTTACTACTGGATGTACCACATATGACTATAATGACTGAATAACTGATATACTGATTGAAATGATTGTTTTCAATACTGTAAGGACATTTATTCTTAACCTCTTTATGCATTATGTTATTCACTGGGCTTTAGCTCACTGTTCATATATATATGTAGGTGTACAGGCACCGGACCGTTGCTAGAAGCGTTGGGGTAAACTCCAGTTTTGTCAAGCCAACCTATGTGCCTCACTGCGAGGTTCCAAGTCCGTTCAAGCTACGGCTACGGGGTGTTTTAGTTTCCCCTTTCTGTTCTGTTTTTGTATAGACTGTATACACTGTTACTGTACTGTTTTAATAGGGATTAAGTCCCTGTCCTGAACGATTATAAATGTCGTACATACTGTTTTGCACTGATTGTATATATGTATGAAAAGTCTTTTGCATACAGACTGTCACAGCTCATTGGACTTTGTTTATTTATTGATTTGGCTTCCGTCATGCCCTTGTACTCTGTATTACTGTTTTACTGTTAAGTAGGACTTCGGTAATCTCGGATTACTGGCCGGTTACGGTGCTAAACCCATAGGGGCGGGTTTGGGCTGTGACATGGTGACTCCTCTGAAATTGAAATTGTTAGGTGCTTTAGATCATTCACTGTAATCCAGCTCAAAATTGTGTTCTTCAGCTCCTTCTAGTATATCCTTAAGGATCAATGTGCAGGTTTCTGTAATGACAGTGGGGATGTTTCTCATTTTGGTGCACCATTAGTTTTGAACCCTTATATACAATTATTGCCTCTTTTATAGTTCATTCTTCAATCAAGTTTATTTTCTCTGTGCTGCAAGTTAATTGTTCTAATAGCTGTATTTTTTTAATTGTTATTTCAGTACGCAAAGTGGAAGAATGAAGGTTGATTCAAATGTTGGTGAGAATCCTTTAATATATGAGGGCAAAGACATTGAAGAACCTAAAAAGGGTATGTGTTTTAGCTTAAGGGAAGAGGTGTACACATTTTATGGCAAATATGCTAAGCATGTTGGATTTTCTACAGCTCATAGAGCACAACATTTTGGAGATGATGGGCAATTGCTAAACTTTGCAATTCAATGTTCTCCAGCGGGGGCAGAGAAAAAAGAAATCAGAAGTCAACCCTCTGAAGCCATGTTTGTCCACAAAGATTGGTTGCACAGCAAAGGTACGAAGTAGTGTACAAAAGGATGGGAGATATAAACTAACCACAGTTAACCTTGAGCATAATTATGATTTGATTCCCACCGACTCACGTCATTTTGCAACGAATAAGAAAATTCTTACTCCTATGAAGAGAAGATTAGAAATTAATGATCAAGCAGGGATTGGGGTGTCTAGGAACTTTCATTCAATGGTTGTTGAATCGGGAGGATACGAGTCATTGACATTTGACGAGCGAGATGCAAGAAATTACATTGAGAGAGCTAGAAGGTTGAGGCTTGGGG